TGCAGCTCTGCCTTGCACAGGTGTGTTTGGTGCTGGGTCTGCCCAGCCTGTTACTACAGGGGTTGGTTTAGCAGGTAGAGAGGTAGCTGCCCCTCCCCAGGGAGTCAAGAGGTCCCGCCCCTGCTGCCCCTCTATTCTGGGCCCAGCTCTTCATCTGCAAAATGGGTTGGTGGTGCTCTGCCCTCCCACTTCTCTGGAAGCTGAAGGGACAGACGCAGAAGTTCTCTGAGTAGCTGAGTAGTCTGAGCACTTTAGGGAACCCGGGAGCGGGTCTGGCCAGGCTCAGAGACAGGATCAGGCTAATGGAGGGTGGAGAGCTTGGTGACCAGGTGGTTTCACTCAATGGGGAGGTTCTGGGGGCCTCCGAGACTGGGCATAGTCCTGGGGCCCTCCCCTGTGGTGCTCACACCCACCAAGGGAGTGCCATGGGGTAACTAGGTACCGGGAGGCCCTGATTCTCTGTGGGGATACAGGCAAGCCCTTCCCCTCTCTGTGCCTTGGTTTTCCTGCCTGTGAGGTGAAGCCTGACCAAGCCTCCCTCCAGCCTGGGAGGCTGCAAATTCCTCTCTGTCCTTTCTGGGTAGTTTTGGGCTTCGAGCCCCAGCTCTACCCACAAAAGGCCACAGAAAGTCACCCAGATGCACCTAGCACCAGCATCCAGCTATGGGTGCTGACCGCTTGATTCCAGACCTGTAGACTCTAGAGGGAGAGACCAGATTTCTGTTGTTTTGAGCCACCCAGTGTGCCATGCTCAGTCAGAGTTTGAAACCAGGCAGTTGAACTCCCAGCGTCCTCTTACCCTTAGCCAGCACAGGGCCCCCTCTCAGGTGCCCCTCCCCACAGATTCTGGTGCATGACTCTGAAAGATTGTCAGGGCCTAACTAGAGGGAGGTATCGAAGGAGTCCACTGCAGGGAAATGAGCACATTCTCTCCTGTGTCTGGGAGAGGGGACAGTCAGGGCACATGCGAGACACAAAAGCCATGGAGGGAGACAGCCAGGCTGCTGGGAGAATGGGCTCCTGGAATCCACAAAACACGTTCCCACCACAGGGCCTCAGCATGTGCTGTTTCCTGTGCCTTGGGCTCTCTCCCAGGTATGGCTAGAAGACAGACATGACAGACCGACCAACACCCTGCTCCCATGGGGCTTCTAGGCGATGAATAGGTCACTGCCTCCTTGACAGGCCTCCCTCACCCCAGTGCACGGCCCCCTCATAGTCAAGGCACCCTGCTTTATTCTCTTTACTACATTTCCCACTCTTCCTGTGTCTTTGTCATTTGCTTGCTTCTTTTACCCACCTACTCTGGGTGCTCCAGCTCAGGGGTTGAAACTGCTATGACCATCCAGCATTCCCTGACCCAGAGGCACTGCTCAGGAAACACGTTTAGCAACCAAACAGTTGGCTGTATGCAGAAGAGAGAGTTTTTGCCCATTTCCTAGACAAAGAAACTGAGGCCAGGGGCTGCAGGGTGCAGCTTAGTGAGAGAGTACCTGTCTGGCAAGTTTGAGGCTCCAGCACCTCAAAAAATACATAAAAGGCTTTAAAAAAAAAAAAAAAAAAGGAAACAAGTTTAAGGTTAAGAAACTTGGTCCATTCCCACCTGGAGAATGGGTGGCTCTCCCCAACACACTTCAGTCCCCTGGGTGGGCAAGAAATGGCAACAGGTGGTAACAGTCACCACCTCATCCACTTCCTCCAGTCTCCAGTCTTTTGGTGCCAGGCAAACCCCCCCTTCTCTGACACACACCCTTCCCCATCCCCTCTGCCACGGGCACGTCTACTGCCAACTAGCAAGTTCTCAATATGCAGCATGGTGAGAAATCCCCCCCGGACTCAAGGGCAAGCTCATACTTCTTTCAGGCTCTGTCAGTCTCATTTAGCAGAGGCTACAAGCTGATGCTCATTCCTCACACGAGCATTTATTGAGCACCTGCTCTGTGCCAGGCACCATTCCAAGTGCAGGGAAATAGGCCTGTTCACACCCTTTGGTGGAGCTGATATCATTTGGCAAGGGGGGTGGATAAGGAACTGATGTACAAATGCATAAGTTGATTTCAGAGTGACAAATGCCCTAGAAGAAGCAAGCAAGGCGATGTGACACTGCGAGAGCAAGATAGCCCCTCAGTCATCAGTCTCACCTCAGATCCCAGAGGAAGGTGTGCAGGGGCAAAGGGAGGATGTTTCAAGGTGCAAAACAGACATCTCCCTGACCCCTCCACAGGAGGTGAGCATGGTGCCCAGGGAGGATACCAGATACCAGGCTGGGGTGGCCAAGAGGCTCTAATCTGGCTTAGTCTTCAGACACTGGGGACCCCACATTGTCCTCCTGGACAGTGATGGATGAGACATGATCAGACAGTCACTCTCTCCAGATCAAAGGGTGAGCCTACACTCTGTCCTTTTGAAGCCCATGTTTTCCACAGGGAGGGGGGGCTGAATTCTTGGGTGCTTGCTCCTGTCTCAACAGCCCCAGAGCTGCATGGAAAGGTGATAGGAGGGCAAAAGGAGAGTTTTCTATCAGGCTGTGGGACCTGACCCTGGGCTGGGGCTTCTCAGCAGGGATCTTGCTGGCACCCAATGTTCCCTCTGGACGGAAGGGAAAGAATTGCTAGAATACTTCCTTTCCCTTGACTAAGCCTTATTGCCCTATGAGGTGGGGTTCACCACCTTCCATGAATTCTCCACACCTAGCTGGGTAGAACCTCCCCTTCCAGGCTTGCCCAGAATGGCCCAGAAGTCCTGCTGTTTGAATTCCAGGATTCCTTTCTCCACTGAGCAGTGGGGGAGGAACACACAGGCCTGAGCAAATTCCAGAAGGGATCCTGAATGCAGTTACCTGCATCAGGCTTACTAATATTCACATGAACAATGGTAATGACAGTTAGCTGTTCCCAAGTGTTCCCACGTACCTGTCACAGCACTGGTACACAAGCCCTTTGTCATCTAATATGATCCATACAACTACCTTTAAAGAAACACACAATTACCTGGAAAGAGGATAGATGTACATAGAGCACTCTCCTTCCTATTGTACAGATGGGGAAACTAAGGCTCCATCTCTTCTTCACACATGCCTGTTTTTTAATTCTCATGGAATTCTGGGGGTGGGGTAGGCCCTGAAACAACACTCATTTGCCACTCATGAAGTGGTCCCCACTTTGTAGAACACTACCCAACTCCCTGGTGCCTCCCCACAGCTCTGCAAACTAGATGGTGTCACAGTTTGCTTTGTTTCACAGATGGAAAAACCCAAGCCCAAGTGGGAGACCAGGCAAGAAGGCAGGAAATGACAAAGGGAAGGAGAGCCCAAGTGTCTGTATCCTTTGTACCTTTGTCCTTGGTCTTTCCATGTGGAAGTCTGCCTGGGTGACCCTCACACTCCAGCAGGCTGTCCCTCCAACCTGGGACAGTCCCTAAAGCTCACTGGGCCCTCTGCCAGGACAGCAATAAAACTGCTACTTCATATTTGTTCAGCCTCCAGATAGCTCTCACGATAAGCCCATTTTACAGATGACCTGGACCACTGTCCCACTGCTGGCCAGAGGATGTTCAGAGCCAGGTCTCTCATAGGCCCCCAGGGGAGTGGTCCACAGGCAGGCCCTAGCTGCCAGAGCTTAAAACCGGGGCCAAAATGCCTGTCTTCCTGTGGGTGAAGGGTACTCCACCATTCACCCAGACAGCAGATGCCAACCCCACCACAGGAGCCAAAGATAGGTGGCCAGGGAGGACACAGACACTGGGCTGGGGGCCAGGAGACACCTCTGACCCAGCTCGGTCCTCAGACACTGGGGACCCCACACTGTCTTCCTAGACAGCGAGCAGTGGGATGTGATCAGATGGTCTCTCTAGCTGTTGCCTGTCAAGATCATGGTCATGGGTGACCCAATCTCCCAGCTCCCAGAGAGCTGTCCTTTCTGAGGCCATGTTCTCCAAGGGGAGGGGGCTGGATTTCTTGGGTGCTGGCTCCTGACTCAGCAGCCCCAGTGCTGTGTGGAAGGGTGGCAGGAGAGCAGAAGGAGGGTCCTCCCTCAGGCTGTGGGACCTGACCCTGGACTGGGGCTTCTTAGTGCAAGCCTTGCCTGACCTCCTCCAGGCCAACCACAGAGGCTATGGCTGCCCTTTCTTGGTGACAGCCCCAACTCCTCCATGATCAACACCTAAGGGCGAATAAAACAAAGGGCCCTCCAGTGGTTCTCCTAGTCCCTTGCTCTTGGGTCTACCTGGAATACCTATGAGGCAGGGGAGTCAGACAGCAGATCCCTGGTGGGTTCTTACTGCACCTGTGACCTTGGACAAACTCCAAACCTCTTTTAAGATAGCCCTCACCCACAGGACCAGAGGTGGGGCGACACTGGCAGAGGAGAGAGGATCAGAGGGAAGAGGGGCGCTAGCCCCCTCTATTTTCTAAGAAACATCGTGCAGATGCGGGGACGGGCAGGAAGAAAAGGGCCTCTCTCTCCTCCTCCACCCCTTTAAACACACAGGTGCCAGACAGCCTTTGCGCAAAAACTAGTTTGCAAACACACTCCGACTTCTGGGAAGCTGCCCAGCGCTACTCCCCCTCTTAGCTTCCTCTTCCCGGGCTGGGCGCTGGCCGATTCTGGGGCAGGACTGCGGAGGGGTCGGGAGTCCGGCAGAGGGGCGTGCCAGCCCGGAGCCAGCCGACCTCACGCCTCCAGCCGCGGTGACAGGGGACCCCGCCTCCCCCGACGCCTCTGGGGGGAAGGGGGCGCCCGCAAAGCAGCTGGGTCCTCGGGCACCCGGCGCGCCCTGCTTTTCCCCCTCACCCCCGCCCCGCAGTCAGGGTGCAGGCGGAGCGCCCCCGCGTGGTCGGGTGGGAGATGAGTCACCCAAGCGCGACCCTCCGCGCGCGGGTGGCTGCGGCTTAGGGTGACCGGCTTCCTCCGACCCTCCAGCCGCGCCCCAAGCGGAGCCTCCAGGCCGAACTTGAGCGCTCGCCCCAGGCTACCCCGCCCGCCCGCCCGGGCCCCACTCACCGCGCGTCCCGCGGGCGCCACCGCTGCCCTCACCACGCGGCGGCCGCTGTTCGCGCTCCGGGCCGCCGGGGCATCCCCGGGCGCTGCGCTGCGCTGCTCGGACGGGTCAGGGCGCTGCCCGCGCGGCCATGCCCGCTCGCGTGCGCTGGCTGTCGCTCGGGGCCGGTCCTCCTCCCGGGCCGGCGGGCGGTGGCGGCTCGGGCTCCTCCCTCCGGCCGAGGGCGGGTGTGGGAGGGAAGCGCGAGGCGAGGCGGGCGCTTCCTGGAGGGGCGAGCGGCCGCCCGGGCGGAGCGAGGGCGCTGTCCCCCTCGGAGCCCGCGCCCGGGCACTCGGGGAGCCACGGGGAGTCCGGACGCTCAAGGCCCGCTGCGAGGGGCTGGAGGTTCGAGACTGGGACGCCAGGCTCCAGCCTTCCGGGCTGGGACTCGGCGGGTCGCAGCGCCGCGGGTTCGCGCTCGCCCCAGGCCTGCTTCGCCGCGGCGGTGACAGGAACCTCCGAGCTCCGCGCTCTGCGCGCAGGCTGCAGGCGCGGGAACCGAGGGGGGGATCAACCCGGCCTGCGGGGCCCTGGGCGCCTCCTGCGGCCTCCGCCCCACGCGCAGAGGGGCGCCGCGTGGCGCCCTCGGGGGACGCGCCTCAGGGCTTGGTGCTCAGCTGTTGGGACAGCACTAGGACCGCAGTATTTTCTTCCTTTTTAATTTTTTTCTTTCAATAGCGTTTTCTTGCCGCCAGAGACTGGAAAGATGACACATAGATGTGTGACACAGGCGATAAGATAAAGACATAGGAGTGGGGCCTGGGGCAGCTGCGTGAGAGCAGTTCGGCGGTTTAGGGCTCCGGAACCTCTCCTCTGCGAGGGCCATCTGCCGCAGAAACGACCCAGTTCGTAAGACTAGTCTGTGGCCAGGCACTCAGGCCGTGGGCCGCGCGATGGTATTTTGTGCCCTCGGGGCAGTTTAACACCAGCGTCAGACCATTGAGCCAGGCTGAACCAGATTCCAGGGGGCGGGGCCTTCCCAGGATCTCAAGGCCACGCCCAAAGCCTAGGGCCCTAGCATGCCGGGCCTGGGCGGCTCTGGATGTGGGTTTTCCATTTCATTCTGGGCAAATGAGGGCTGCAGCCTGTGAACCTCCCTCCACATCTGAATCGCAGGCACTTTGCAGCCTTAGAGGGGCCTGCCACCAGACAGCCCCAAGGCTCTGAGCTTTGTTCTCTGCCTGTCTTCACCTTTCTTCCAGCTGAAGTCCTCAAAGCCTGCTGTCTAGCTCTGGGAGGATCAAGCCCGTGGAGCTTCATAGAGCCAGCTCCATCCAGCCCCACTTCCTCCAGGAACACTTTCCTGATTGCCCTGGTCCCTAACTTCAGGAGAGCCAGCCTCTGGGATGGCAGACTAGATAATCCTTCTCAAACTGCTGGCCTAGGGCCAAGGGCAGGGCAGTCATGTGACTGAATGAGAAGTGCAAAGGTTGGAGGCAGGTGGCATAGACGATCCACCTGAGCGGTGGGAATCAGCCAGCCCTCCTCTCTGAGACCTGAAGGATGAAGAGGCTGGGCCTAAATCTACCCAAGAGAAATGAAAATTTATGTCCACACAGAAATTTGTACGTGAATGCTCACAGCAGCATGGTTTGCAAGGGCCAAAGAGTGGGAGAGTCTCAATGTGCACCAACTGAGGAATGGGAAAAGAGAATGTGGTATGTACATTCATAATGCAATATTACTCAGCTGTGGAAAGGTAAGAAGTACAGACACAGTTGCCTGGGCCTAGGCTGGGAGGGCTGGAGTGCTCACAATTGATACAGGGTTTCTTTGGACAAGGAGAATAAAAATGTTCCCAAATCAGAGTGTAGTGATGATTGCTCTTATGCTTTGGATCTGGAATGTCCCCATATGTTGAAGGCTGGTTCCAGCTGGTGGTGCTATTGGGAGGTGCTGGCAACTTTAGGAAGTGGGGCCTTGTAGGAGGAAGTAGGTCTCTTTCTGTCTCTTTGTCTCTGTCTCTCTCCGTCTCTCTCTCTCTCTCTCTTTCTCTCTGTACCACCATGAGGTGACCAGCTTTGCTTTACCACATCCTTCCACCATGATGTTCTTCCTCACCACAGGCCAAAAAGCAATGGAGTAGCTGCCCATGGACTGAAACCTCTTGAACCATGAGCCAAAACAAACCTTTTCTCTTTTTAAGTTGTTTATTGTAAGTATTTTGTCACAGCAATGGAAAGTTGACTGACACATTTGGGTAACTATAGATATACTCGTTGCCTCATACATTTTAAAGGGTGAATATTGTGGTATGTGGTATTTATCTCAATAGAACTGTCTCCTTTGAACTCAGAGCTTTGAGCTTGCAAAATGTCACTTTACCAATTGAGCCACACCTCCAGTCCATTTTGCTTTGGTTATTTTTGGACATAGGATCACTCAAACTATTTGCCCAGGCTGATCTCAAACCACAGTCCTCTGGATCTTAGCCTCTTTAGTACCTAGGATTATAGATGTGAACTACTGGCACCCATCAAATAGAACTGTCTTTTTAAAAAAGTCAGGCATCAGGAGAGCCCAGCAATCACTAAATGGAAGCCAAGTGTCCGTCATGGGTTGGTTCCTCACACTCTGCCTTCCATCCACTCCCCATGCAAGACTGTAAACTGTGGAACTCAGCCTTCCCTTCCCCTGGTAGAAGGCTCTGCATGGCAGCAGGCCAGTATCCCCCTAAGCAGACCTGTGTTGGGGTGCAAGTGGGTCAAGGCCTACTATGTGGCGTTTGTTTCTATAGTGCAGGCTGCTTGGACAAACATTAGAATAACGAGGAAAGCCTCTGTCCATATCCATGTGCTCGTGAATTAGATACACCAAGTGTTCCTGTTTACCAGGTCCTGCCTGGGCCTCAAGTGTGGAAGAGGGGAGGGGTAAGGAGGGTGATCTGGTTATCTATGCTATGTCCTCAACATCCCCCAAACCTTGTCTCTCATGGTTCTGGGGGTCACCTGGGCTTAGCACAGGCACTCCTTACCCAGGGTTCTTAAACAGCTGCGGTCAGAACAGGGCTTTCTCTCTCTCTCTCTCTCTTTCTCTCTCTCTCTCTCTCTCTCACACACACACACACACACACACACACACACACACACGTGTGGCCATTCATGCTGGCTGTCAGCTGAGACCAAAATTGGAGGGACCACCTGCCGGAAATCATTCCATGTGGACTGGACTTCCTGGTACCCTCATGCTAGCCTCTAAGAGGAAGCATCCCAGGAGAACCAGGTAGGAGCCTCAGCTTCTCGGACAGGACCTGGGCTTAGAAGTCACATAATGTCCCAGAACAGTGTCACTGTCACATAGTAAATGCATGTGGTCTGGGAAAATACCACCTGCCACAGGAAGTTGATATGGAAATGTATCTGAGAAATAGACATCTCCTCAGAGGTCTTGCTCATGTACAGGTAGGTGTGACTGACTCAGGTGCCAAGTCTTAGGCCTGGAGCCATGGCCCTGGCTTCGACTATCAGTACCCAGGCACTGCCTGGTGAGGTCACTCAGTCCTCTAGGCCTCAGTTTCCTTCTCACGGCGAGCCAGTTCCAGGCAAAGTACAGACCCTGGGGCTGGTGGGGTGTGGCTAATTTTAGGTTCCAGGGTTGTGGTTCACTGAGTGACACAGGGATGGCCCTCATAGGGTCAGATGGACAGGCCTCTTCAGCCCTCAAGCCAGCCCTGGTCACCTCCCTTAGCTCCAGCCCTGCTGTGGCATATGTGTGGAGGGAGGGGGATAGAACCCAGCCCAGGACACTGATACTGCTGGCCACAGGCTCCTCATCCAGGGAGCCTTAGTTCTCCAGGGAGAGAAAGCACCCCTTCTTTCCCTCCTCCCCTAGGCAAAGTGCCTTTTCTGGGCAGCCAGGGTAGAGTTGCCAGGGTAGAGATGGAGGATGAGCCATCAAAGATGGCTTCTGAGGGCAGAGAAGGTGGCTGATACCCCCTAGCAAGAGGCAGGGTTGTTCACAGGTGGGGCTAGCCCACGGGAGCAAGACTGGATGTCTCAGGACTTCCTGGGCCCACCCCTGGGAGGACCGTGAACAAAGCAGCCCCTGGATGGTCTTTCTTGGGAGCTTCTGATGTATCTAGAACATGTGGCCTCTTCTGGCTGTGGATACCACTCCTCAGTCCTGGCATGGCAGAAACAGGGTCCAGGAAGGGTACACAGCCCTTTAACCTTCCTGGGGGCCCTTATTCTAGAATACAGACCTGCAGGCAAGTCCAACCCCCAGCTCAAGACCGCCCCAGGTCCCCTTTTCCTTTTGGCTCCAGGGTTGCCATGTGAGTCCCACCAGGTACTTGGGCAAGGCCTACTCTCTGCCTGCCCCTCACTTTTCTCATCTGTAAAATGGGGAGATTCCTGCTGAGATTGTTGGTAAGGCTCTAGAGACCAGAGGTAGCGATGCTCTGTAGAAATAGCTGGTGGATCCAGAACCCTTTCCAGTAGAGACAAGAAATTAGCCATGGGTCATCTTTGTAGCCTAAGAAAGCAAGTCCTTGTGCCTTATCTTCTCTGCTCATCTCATTACTACACAGATGGGGAATCTGGGGCAGCACTGGGTATCACAGAGTTACAAAGACTCCAGTTACAATCCCCATGGTGCCAGTTACTGGCTTTGAGCCTTAAGAAATGCTTGGGAAAAATCCATAGGTCTCAGTGACCTCATCTGGACAGGGAAGGTCTCCAGGGCCCTCAGGACAAAATAAGGGACACAGGTGCAAAGGCCTGCATACCCTTTCCAAGGGACAGCCTGCTCCAATACCCATGTTTCCACACAGTTGCAAATCTGAAGCTATCAAAGAGCTTTCTTGAGGCTAATTTTAAAAGTAGGTGGTTTAGGGCCAGGCATGATGATTTATGCATTAATCCCAGCTATTCAGGAGGCAGAGATAGGAGGATCATGAGCCGAGGCTGGCAAGGGCAGTGATCTTGAGACCCTATCTGAAAAACAAGCTCAAAGCCAAAGGGCTAGGGGTATGGCTCAAATGGCCTCTCTTAGCCTCCCTGTGGGCCCACACTAGCACCCTCACTTGGGCCTTCTATAAATGCAGGTGCTGCCAGACTCGCATGCTAATGAGTTGATTCTCTGCACTTCATGGTGTCTGTGACTGCAGCTTTCTAGGAAAGGTTCCATAAGGATTCCTTGTGGCAGTTTGGGAAGCACTGGCCTGGACCATGGATTTCAGATGGCTGTGTGTGTTGGGAGAGCACAGAGAAAGCAATTTAGGCCTTAAGGCCTGTGACTTTGGAAGAGATATTCCGTGAGTCTATTAGACAGATGGACATTCAGTCTGTGAACCCTAGGATGGAGGCCAAAGGGACAAAGTAGCTCCATGAACTTCTTCCAGATCTGCAGGTAGACATGGATACTCCCGGCCTCATCACTTGCTTGGCGCAAAGGGTCACGGGTAGAGCTGAGAGCACCCTCCGTGTCACAGTGTGTACCAGCCCGTAGCCTCGCTGCTCTTCCAGTTGCATTTACATTCACATATATGTTTAAACTGAGCCTACTTTGAGGAAGAAGCAGGCAGGGAGACTGAATCCCATTAGCGTTGAGTAGAAAGATAAGTCAAGGCCCCAAGCAGGCAGGTGGCAGGAAAGGCAGTTTCTTAATAAAATGAACAAGATTTCACACCAACTGAAGATGGGCCCCGTCAGCTCTGAGGTGCTGGCCAGATGTGGTGTATTTCAGGGCCTGTGCTGCATATCTCTTGGTGTTTAGAACTTGGGCAGACATGAAGCGAAAGTACAATGGTAAAAAGCAAATGAAATAGTGTCCCTGCATTCTGTGCTCCTCCCACCACTGCTGCGTGCATGTCACCTGGCCCTATTCTTTTGGTGGGCACTCTATTTCTTCCTCAGATTTGACTTCCCTGGCCAAAGTATCTTTAGCTTTTGGGGGTTCATCCTTCAGCCCGAGGGAAGGAGGATGGTAGTACAAAGCCCCAAAGGTGTGAAAGTGCACACCAAAGCCCAAGGTCATTATATCCCAAGAAGGGAGACAGAATTTTGGGTGCAGTGTTTCCAGGTAAACTTCTTGGATCCTCTACCTGCCTACTTCCTCTCCATGACCAGGCTGGTGGATGGTTCCAGGTGGCCTGATAAGGGTGTCCCTATGCGACATGAGGGTGCTTGGCACTTGCTTGGCACTTTTGCCTCGTGTTTGGCGGGATGATGAGGGCAATGTGGAGGGCCAAAAAGGTCAGGGCCACAGCAGGCTGGGGCATCCCAAGTTCTTTAGGCCAGGTGGGAACAGTCTGTGACTCATCTCACCTTCTGGGTCCATTGGGGAAGGAAGTCAGGTCAGGAATGCCCGTGGGCCAGCCTGCCCTCCAGTGGTGCTGAGCTGTAAGTGTACCCTGCTGGCGTGGCTTTTCACAAAGTGGGTGAAGTCTCCCAGAGACTCACTAGTACCAGGCAGGTGACAGTGAGAGGGTGCTGTTCTTCTGTCACTTGGGGCATCTCTCCACCCCGTGTGATATTCCACCTTAAAAGGGGAATGGAGCTAACATGTAGCCAGTACTTACTTCTTTGTACCAGGGACTTTATACACTTTACTTCCCAGACCTCACCCATTATCCTGTGTGCATACATTTGTATGTGCACACATGTGTTCTTCAGCAGATTACCCTTAGGCAGAAAGATTGAACTAGCCCTTGAGGGAAATCAGTCTGCTGTTTTTGGTAAAGTTCCCAATTTTAAATACTGAATTCAGAAAAGAGTGAAAAAATAGTATGCAAGTCAAACAAAACTTTTTCTGACATTCTGAGCATCAGTAACACCCCCATGATGCAGGGAAGCTATGGAGTGAGGAGATGAGTTGCCCGGACAGGTGAACTTGAACCCTTGTCTCCTGACTCCCAGGCCAGCGTCCCTCCCAGCACACCTCTCCTCTATCCAGTTGTCCAATCCCCGGGGACCTCTTCTGACCTGGGGAGGAAGACAGCAGGCGACATCAGATGCAAGCTAGAGGTTGGGAGACCCATCACGTTTATTGATGGAACTTGGTTTGGAATGTAGCAGGGCCAATCCTTGGCCCTCTTGGGAGTCACAAGAACACAGTGCAACATATGGCGTGCCCAGGAGCTCACCTGGATCCCACTGAGGTAGCAATGAACGCAGTGGCCTTCCTCATGGCCTGGCAGTGCTCACCCTGGGTTCTTAAACTTGGCTTTGTCCCTTATGCAGGACAGAAAGGGCTTGAGTTCTCCCAAAGTCAGGCTTGCTCCACCTGGACTCAGGCCTGAAGTCCTCGGAAGCCAGCACTTAAGGAAATGGGGAGGTTACCCATTTTACAGGTGTGTAAACTGAAGCTTGAGGCAAGAGAGTGGCTGAGTCCCCAGCATGGCCCAGGGTCCGGTCCTTGGGCCACTAGGCAGTCCGTACTTGGTCACTCTGCCCTCTGGGCTCAGCAAGGAAGGCTCCTGGCTTAGCTGCTCTGGAAATGCAGTTTATAAATACATATTGGGTTTGTTTTTTAAAAACAAAGTAATAAATTAACATGAAAGTAGAAGGGGGATTATTTGGGAAGATTATTTGGGAACCAGCTGGAGGGGGGACAAGAGAGAGTAAGGCGGGGTGGAATATGGTCAAAGTACATTATATACATGTATAAAAATGTCATCATGAAACTCATTACTTTGTGCAATTGATATCTGCTAAAACCAAAACTAAAGAAACAAAGTAACAAATTAGATCTTGGCGTAGCCTGAGGTCATCTGGCATGCCATGTGTTATGTGACATGGACATGTGTATCTTATAAGCATCACCAGCCATGTGTTCTGTCACTTGTAGTGCTAGAAGCCATCGACCACATGTTCACACTACAAGTTCCACATAATGTCACGTTACACCCTGCCTTCCCTGTCATGTATATCATGATGCCCTCATTGTGCCGCATGTTCCCACTGGTCATGCAAGTTTCATGCATGATTCAGGGTACTCCTTTGGCCACACTGAGCCCCTGATCCCTGAGAAAGTCCTCCCTGAGGACCACAGTAGGGCGAATGCACCCCTCCCTCCTGGGACAAGTGAGCACACGTGGCACCAGCTGCAGCTCTTCTCCTGAGGCTTCTCTTCTAGTAGGTGACATCAGTGTCACTTGGCTGGAGTCCGAGGGTCTTGAGAGGGCCATCAAGTACCCGGAGGGACCTGTGGCTGCTTGTCAAAGAAGGTGAAGTCCAGCCTGGGCTCCTGGCTCTGCAGACTCTGGATGGCACCCGAGGGGATGGGATTATTCCAGAGACTGTGGGCACAGAGATAGGCATCAGCCCCTGGAGCTGCTCCCTCATCCTCGTCTCTGCCCCTGTCCTACCTACAGATCAGGGGATGGGGCCCGAAGCGGAAGAGACATGACCAGTTACTCAGCAGAGACGGTATAGACTAGCATGGCTGCCATAGGGTGATGCCTCTCCCTTGTGTTAAGTGCTCATTATGTTCCATGACCAGTGTTTCGCACGTCCAGTTAGTCTTCACAACAACTCATTATCCCCATTTTACAGATAAGGAAATTGAGGTTCAGAAAAGCAGAGTTACTGATATGAAGTTAACGAATTGGAAAATGGCAGAGCTGAGATTTGACCCTGGTCTGCTTTGCCACCAAATTCTTGGTGGAGTGGTCCAGGTCTCCTGTCTTGACAATCCTCAACCCAGGCCTTGCTTCTTCCTGCAGAAAGTCCCCCTATACTATGGGGAGTGGTGTAGCCTCCCACCCACGCACGAATCCCACACTTCTGAGCCTCTGTTACCGGATGACTTGGACACCAGCCCCCTGAGCGAGCCCTTGAACCAGAAGCGAGGCTCCATGGGCTGTGATCCGGTTCTTCTCCAGGCTTCCCGGTGGACAGAGGAGGAAGGGAAAGGGAGAGGCAGATGTGAGACTGGCTGAGGAGCTCCCTCATGTCCCTCCCCAGGCCAAGATGGGGGACCTGGACTCCCCATACTACCAGTAGACAGTAGTGGATTCGGGACAGGCAACAGGAAGGCTAAAGGTTAGAGCTCAGGGGGAATGAGCTCAGCAAGGGCATGTGGCTTCTCCAGGAGGCAGGCCACTTCCCGTTCTCCCCGCCCCAGGTGTGCTGCTCATACTCTACTTTCTTCAGCCGACCCATCCTTGGTAAGGCCCCAGCCAGCTCAGCAGCTGCCTCGTCCCCAAGGAAATTCCAGGACAGCCTGCAAAGTAGACACCCTAAGGTCAGCAGCAGAAGAGCAGCAAGGTGAGGGGTAGAGATAAAGCAGCTGATGGGGAAGGCTGGGGGCCAGCAGGGTTGTGTGTGGGGGCACAAGAGAGGCCCCCTGACTGGATGCTTTCTTCCTTCCCCTAGAGACTTTTCAGGGCACAGGTGCCTCCTTCCTCCCCACCTGTCCCTGCCCCCACTTCTGAGCTGGCTGCTTTTCTAACCCAGCCACTTTGGAAGCTGGTCACCCTATGATTTCAGTTCAGAACACAAGGTCAGAGGCAAAGAACCTTTAGAGAGCATCAGGCCCACTTCCCCTCCGACCTCCAGGGGCAGGGAAACAGGCAGGAGAGATTAGATGGCTCTGCCCATGTCACCAGAACTCATGTGGTAAGACTTCTTCCACAGGAGGCTTGGGCAAAAAAGACCTTCCCTGTCTGTAGATGGGAGGACCAGCCAGAGAAGAAGGGATGGTTTCAGGTCACACAGTGGGCAGGGACAAGCCCCAGGACACCTGCTTTGACCAGCTCAGGGCCCATCCAAGCACTCACAAGATTTCTTCCAGTGCCGGGCAGAGTAGAAAGCTGGCAACTAGATGCTTAGCAGACTGGTTGTCAATCTCACAGGAAATGAGGCTGGGATGGAGCAGGGGATGGAATAAGGGTGCCTAAGTCAGGGGGTGTCTCTAGCAGAGCCCCTTTGTCCACAGTGAGAGCTGGAGGGGACAGAGCATCTAGGCCTAGGCAGGGTGGAGTATTCCAGAAAGCCCATTCCCTGCTCCAGCCCTACCTCCCATCCCTGGGACTTTGGTAATTTCAAAGGGCCTCCCAGGTATCAGACTCTGCCAGGGAAAGGCTGCAGCCTCACCCACTGCAGGGCCCCAGGCAACCAGCAAAGGCTACTTACTCAATCCGCCTGAGCAGTGGGAGCCCCTTGCAGAAATGTGGGACTCCCTTGGCCAGGCTGTTCTGTGCCAAACTGTGGGGGCAGGGAGAATACCCATGAGAGGCACCACCAGACCGCCCTGGCCTATCTCCCTGAGCAAGCTGGGGGACCCTTACTCACCTGATCTCTTCCACAAATGGGTATCCATCCAGGGCCTGGCCCAAGCTCAGTACCCCCTCTGGACCCAGATGGCTGGAGGGCAGGCTGGGGAAAGGGGAGGGGGAGGACCAGCTATGTGGACTGGGCACCTTATCAGAGCCCTGCCCTCAACCTTCCTCAGGCTGTAGTGCAGACCTTAGCTGGTCTCTGGATAACTGCCGCCCAACCTTTTGCTATAGCCCCACAGGACTTGGTGGGTATCAAGGGCCCTGGCTTTGGCATCTGAGAACCCAAGTTCAAGGTCTGGCTTCTTAGTGTGTTAGGAAGTCAAGCTCTCCATACTTCTGGCTTAGAGCCTAGAAAATGGAGTGTGTATGAATCCCAGCCCCATGGGGCTACATGGAATCCAGACAAGGTCATGGACTTGACCTGTGGAGGGCGGAAGCCATGCTCGTGCCACTTTTCTCCCACACAGCCCTTCTTTGATATTTCCTTAGCCACCCTCAGAGACTGTCAGCTGGGATTGGTGTACTTCCTTTCCAGATGAGGGTCAGGGGGCTGGACCAATATTAGCCTGGGTCTCCTGACTGCCCTGCAAGGACATCAGAGGCTGGGGAGCAGCCACCAGGGAAGAGGACCCTGCCGTAGTTTGGTCTCAGGCAGGACTGTTCAAATGATGGGCTTAATGCACTGTTCTCGGAGTCCCCTTCCCACCAGCCCTGTGCACACTGTGGGTAGGGTGATACTCACTGCAGGATCCTCAGGTGCTGGGGCAGCCTCTGAGCCAGCCCCAGAGCTGTGGGGTCCCCCAGAGTATTGCAGCCAAGCCTGAAAGAGAAGAGGGCAAACTTTGAGCACCATCACCTACTCAGGATCCCTATGGGGCACCTCACCTGGGCGGACACTCACATTAGCTCCTCCAGGTGCTGACAAAGGGTGAGAGATTCCACCAGCTGCGCTCCTCCGACTGGGGTGATGCGGTTTGCTGAGAGGCTGCGGGAGGGGGCAGCCATCAGATCCTCTGCTCCCCTTACCCATTCCACCACATCTGCAGGGGCCTGAGACCCCTCCCACCTTCCCACCTAATGGAAGGGAAGAATGAAGAGAAGAGGAGCCAGGGTGGGATTCTGGTCCCATAGCCAGAGCTAGGAGGTCACTAGTCCTGGCTGGACAGTGAGTCTGGGAGGGGGAAGGGAGATTTCCAGTGCTTGGCCAGCGTTTCCCAGGGGCATGGTGTGGCCACTGTGGGCCTCTTTCAGCAGGGCTGGCCACTCACTCTATCTTCCTGAGCTTGGGCAGTCCTGGCAGGATGGCCGCTAAGTGCTGGGCACCGGCGTCCTCAATCTGGTTGTGACTCAAGCTTGGAGAGAGAACAGCAGGAGAGGAAGAACCATCAGCCTGCTTCCCATTTCGTGTTGTCCACACTGCTTCTCAGAACAGAATAGGAGGCTGATGTCCAGAGAGAGGCCTCGGCTCACACTGAGGGCCCCACTCCCCATATTGAGTGAAAATGCACAACTCTTGGCTTCTGCTTAGAAGCCTGTTGTCTGATCTAAGTTCCTCTTGCTGCAATTGACTCCTTACATCCTATATTTGGGTCTCAAAGGTTCTTAGCCTGCAGGACTGTCTATGCAGTGTGGAAGCAGGTGAAGGGGCTGAGACCAAAAAGCCAAGAATGTACTTGAGTAACCCCTTGCTTTTGTCATCTTCCCTTGTCAAGGAAGGACAGGCAACTTACCCCAGCTCCTCCAAGCTGGCAGTAGTTCTGAGAGCCTCAGAAAGGTGGTAGCAGCCGACATCATCAATGCTGTTCTCACTCAGTCTGGAGAAGCAGGGGATAGCCCCCGAGGTCTGAGTCAGGAGCCTAAAGGCCCTTGCCAGTGCTATCCTCATAATTCTAGGGGTTGCAAAGCCTATAGGCATTCAGGAAATCATATACCACTCACACAATTTTGGGGGAGCAGGGAGCAGGGTGGGAATGACTGTTTCCAATGTCCAGGTAAGAAAACTGAGGCTTGGAGGTGAGCCGTGCCTGGCCAAAGACTCCTGGTGACTTGAGGCCAGGTGCACAGGTAACCCAGAGCCTCTGGCCTGTGTGTCTTGGTCTCTAGGTAAACCCAGATAACTGCTAATCTGATTCAGGTGTCACAACTTGGGCCAATCATTTTCCTGGGGCATAAGCTGAGAGCATCTGTGAAAGCTAGGCTTTTCCTTATAATGAAGGTTGCCTTTTCTACACCCTGACTTGGCCCCGTCCCCGTGAGTGAAGGGACAAAACTAAACTAAAACTATGCTACACTAAACTTCCCTGGGCAACTGACTTAGCCTCTACTTAAGCATTTGTCTGAGTGTTGTTTTTCTTTCACAAATTAAATTTCAGTGAACTGTCATTCTGTGAAGGAATTTGAGGTCCTGTATGCCACAGCCTCCTAAACTCTAACCTCACGTACTGCTCTCAACACTGTCACTGCCAGAGTTGGGGCCTCAGATAAAAACAAAGTAAGGCAGTGTCATTTCTGGGATTTGTTTTCAATGACAATATTTTGTATTTGGAAGAACCACATCAAGACAGATTGTGGCATTTGGTTAGTAAGTGGGCAGGAGGAGAAAAATCCCAAGGGCAGAAGGTCAAGGCTACCACGTCTGAGTCCAGTCCATCACTTCTCAAAGTATGGTCTCTGGCCCCCAGATCTGGCAGCTCCGTGGAGCTGCTGGAAACACAGAGTCTGGGCACCTAGGCCGAGGCTGGTGCGTTTGCATTTTAGCAAGGACCCAGGGAGAAGCATGCACACATTGAGGGCTGTCTGGGACTTGGGTCTCACCCCTTCAGATCACGTTTATAACCAGAAGGAAGCCAGTGGCACCTGGAGGCAAGATCAGTTGGCACCAACCTGGGGGGAGGGGAGTGCCCAAGGGATGTCCCCAGAGGGAGCCACGCGTGTTCCCACGGATGTGCCCAGTGCTTCCCTGGGCCGTGTCCCAACAGAGCTGGGTGTGGTCCTCTAACTCGTTCCTGGGGCCACTCACCGGAGGCACTGCAGAAGCATCATATGGCTTAGTCCTCGAATGAGCACAGCCAGTGTAGAGCTGCCCTGCAGACAGTGACTGAGGCTGGAAAGAGGAGGCCAGGTGAAGTGACATTGCTGGAGTGCAGACCAGGGTCCTGTCCAGCTGGGACACTGGAGGCCTTTGTGCTTAGTATACACAGGGGCCTCCGGGACAGCCCCTTACATCACAGTGTGAAGAGCAAATGGCACTGGGCTGTCTCTCTGAATGGATTATTGGGGTCACACAGGCAGCGGTTCTGTATTCTGAGCCACACTGGACTCAGACTAATAGGAGCCATAATGTCGATCACACATCGAGCATATGAGAGGTGCCAGAGCCTGGACTCTGGGGGTCTAGAAGGGTGAGTGTACTGTCACCTCCATTCTACAAATAAAAGCATGGAGGTTCAGGGTGGAGGACCTGCTCACAATCTCTCACAGAAGGGACCAGGGACAGAAGCCAAGGCTGTGGAACCCCCTTTCTGGGGCCCAACCATGTATTACCCATGGGATCTTGACCCTAAGGCCCCATTCTGGGGAGGAGAGAGGGTTAATGACAGTAGTCACCATGTGTAGCATGTTAACTCTGTGTCAGGCTCTGCTTGTCATCTCACTGAATCCTCACAGCGCCCGGGGAGACAGGACTGCTCTTATCCTCGATGTTCCGGTCCAGCGAAAGCACAGAGACTTACGAACAGTCGCAAGCTCACAGTGAGAGGTGGATACAGAAGGTGACCAACTGTCCAGAACTAGAGTCTCTGAATGGGGACCGCCCCGGCTGGCGAGGAGTGTTTGATTAGCCTACCCAAAGCTGACCCCAGATGGTGTGGCTCCCAACGGGGTCTGTGCCCACCCCATCTGGTGCAGGTAATCAGCTGGAGGAAGCTGGCTGCCTGCGGGAGGCGATGGCAGGAAAATGGGACTGGAAAGGGCCTCTGGGGACCGGGGAACCACCCCCTTCTGTCAGATAAGAACGACATCATTATAGATGGGGCAACTGAGGCAGCAAGCAGCAAGGAGCAGCACTGGTGCCTGGGACTCAGAAGAGGTTGCAAGGCCCCCAAGCATGGAGTGGTGTGGGGCAGGGAAGCTCCACCCTGTTTTCTGTGGCACCTCCAGCTCCTAGCCCTGGTCCAGGTGCTCCATACTTGTCAAATGCATTAACGAGCCAATGAATGACCTCACTGGGCCTCTAAGCCCCTAAATAAAAGCTTCAGAGGGGCTTGGAGGGTTGGGTGTAGCTCAGTAGTAGAGTGTTTGCCTGGCATGCATAAGGCCCTGAGTTCCATCCCTAACTCTGAAAAAAAAAAAGAAAGAAAGAAAGAAAGAAAGCTTCCAGAAGTTTCCACAGAAAATTCCAGAAGGTGGAATGAAGTGCAAGCCCAGGCAACTGCTCTGTGGGAAGGCAGGCTGGCTCTGTAGTAGTCCAAGGTCTCCCTCGTTCCTTCCCTTCCCCCTCCGTACCCTCCCCCAGGACAAGCAAAGAGGGACAAAGTGGAAGAATTTCTTTGTTATGGGGCAAAAAGTCAGACGGCAACTTTTAAACTACGTCCAAAACATATGGAGAGAAAAATCTGGAGAAAATTCCACAAGCTGATTATCCCCGGAAGCTTTGTCAGGGAGTATCGTCTCCAGGGGATTTCACATTCTTTTTAGATATTTCTATAATGACGGAACTTTTTATATCCAGGGTATATTTTTTGTCGGCAAAAAACCCTGAGAGATTAAAGCAGACAATGCCGTTAAGTGTTCTGTCCGGATACCGCCTAACCAGGAATCTGCAGGGAAAGGGCCTGACTTTGAGACTGAGGCAGTTTCTGATGTTTCTGTGAATTTGATGACTCCAAACCATGGGGGAGGGCAAAAATGGCCCATTACTAAGGAAGTAACTGTAGACAAATGGCAGCAGACATCTGTGGGGCTTCTGGCCTGAATTGGTTCTCTCTCCTGTTAATAGCATCCTAAAGAATCACTCCCTAAGTCTATGAGAGAGAGAGAAAGAGAGAGAGACAAAGAGACAGAGACAGAGAGAGAGAGTGAGAGAGAGAAAGAGAGAGAGAGAGACAGACAGACAGAGAGAGACAGAGACAGAGACAGAGACAGAGAGAGAGAGAGAGCTGACCAATATCCAACCTGGAACCAGCCATGCCTGAAGTCAATTGTAATTTTCCATGACATAAACCAATACATTCCTACCTTGGGTTGGTCTGAGCTGGGTGTTCTGTTTCCTATGACCAAGCTTCTTGATAACATTCAGAGATAGGTAAGGAAGTAGAAGGTCTTGGATGGGCATTTAGCCACCTGGGTCCATTCAGAGACTTGACAGTTTATATCCACAAATAGCCCTTCCTCTGCCCGTTAGCCCTCATACTGCCCTCCCCACTAACTCCCCACCACTTACTGAAGCCTCTTCAGCCTGGACTTCCCCTCAAGGGCTGCCATCAGCATCTTGGTGCCCTCTTCAGTGAACTGACTGTTGGAGAAGCTGGAGGGGACCAAGTGTGAGGCAGGAATTAGACATGGCTGCCCAGCCCTGGAGCTGAGCTGTCTCCTCAGTTCTCAACCCCTAAGTCCCCTGGGGAGGCTGAAAGGGTGCTGGGGGCAAGGGACACAACACATGCACACAATAACCCTCTGTATCTTAGCCCTCTCTGTGCCTGATTCCCATAGCCAGCTGAGGCAGAGACAGCTGTGGCAGTCCCAGTCCCAAGAGGAAGAGTTATCTAGCCCAGAGACACTTCGCTGGTCAGTGGTAAAGTCAAGATTTCACCACAGTGATCAGCTGTTGGCCGCATCTGGAACATCTGGACTTTGTCATAGACAGAAATCCCACCGTCCACCCTACCCCAGACCTAGCTATTCTCTCGGCCCTGCCATCATGGGTCTATCCCTTCCTGGACCCCAACACCCGGTGACTCACTCCAGCTCCTCCAGGTGGTAACAGTGGCCCAGGCCAGATGCCAAGTGGGTGAGGCCCTCAGTGCTCACACAGCTGGAGGTCAGCCTGGAGGGATCAAAGGGCAGCAGATCAGGGAGGAGCTCAGGGTCTCAGGAGCTACAAAGTTGGTGACAGAGTGGGGACAGTGGGTGGGGACCTCCTGGCCTTCATTATTCTCTCCTCTGTGAACCAATTAAGCCTAACTAAGCCAGGACATAGCTGAAGGCTGGAGTGTGAGCTGTTTCCTATGCCACAGTAACCTGGGTGGCAACAAGCTCACACCATGGTTGAGGGGCATGGTGAAGCTGTTTGTCACAGGCCCTGCATCTTTAAGGCAAGAGTTGGAGAGGGGCCAAAGGTCTGTTAGCCTCAAGGAGCATTTTTTTTGGGGGTGGGGGAGTTGGTGGTACTGGGGTTTAGACTCAAGGCCCTGTGCTTTCTAAGCATGCTACTACTTGAGCTGCATCTCCAACCCTTTTGTTTTTTGCATTAGTTCCCCCTCCCCCCAGATAAGGTTGTACACTTTTACCCAGGCCAGCCTCAGATGGTCATCTTCTGACCTCTGCCTCCTGGGTGCTTGGAATTACTGGCATATACCACCACATCTGGCCCAGAAGTTTCTTCTTACTGCAGTCAGTTGCATTGGAAGAAAATTCAATTAGAAAAGCTCCATTTTAGCCAGATGTGGTGGTGCCTGGGATTATGACTAGCACTCCGGAGGCTGAGGCAGGACCATCTAGAGATCCAGACCAGCCTGGGCTACACAATGAGACCCCAGCTCAAAACACAAAACAAACAAAGTTCCATTTTGCAATTGTCCTACTGACAATTTTTCAGGTGAGGATTATGAGTGGGTGACAAAATTTGTGTGTGAAAGTCTGAGGACAAGCAGGCTATCTATGTGGTCTTAAATGATCTCCTGGCAGGACATGTAACTAATCACAAAGGGAAAATAGTAACTTCAAGTGAAGGAATTTGGCAGGTACCACTGTCCCCAGGTGACAGAGGGACAGACACAGAGACATCATGTGCCCCTGAAGCAAGGCATGAAGAACACAGTATGGCTTGTGTGATGTTGCTGCCCCAATGAAGACTCTAAAGCTAAGCAAGAGGGGCCGCCAGACACACTCAAGTTCAAGGTTACTCCATAAAACAACTGGTCTGCACATGACAGAGACAATGTCAGGAAAGACAAAGACAGGTTGAGAAGGGCTCCAGGCCAAAAGAGACAGAAGAGAGACCACAGTAAATGCAGTATGTGATCCTGGACTGGATCCAGGACAGAGAAAAAGCAAAAAATCAGCAATAAACAGCAATAAACAATTGGTAAATTTGAACTATAAACTGTACTTTAGATAATTCAAATTTACTGGATCATGGAAGAGAAAACACTCTTATTCTTAGGAAACTCACTGATGTACTAGGTAGTCAGGGCCATGAATATGCAACTTACTCTCCAATGGTTCAAAAAAACAGATAGAGATCCCAGCTACTTGGGAGGCAGAGACAGGATCACTGTTTGAGGCCATCCCAGGCAAAAGTTAAGGAGACCCTATTTCAAAAACAAGCCGGGCATGGTGGTTCACGTCTATAATCCTAGCTACTTGGGAGGTGGAGGTAGGAGGATCGAGGTCCAAGGCCTGAGCAAGAGTGAGACCCTATTTGAAAAACAAGCTAAAATGCAAAGGACCAGAGGTGTGGCTCAAAGTGGTAGAGTTGCTTGCCTAGCCAGCACTAGGTCCTTTAGTTCAATCCCCAGTAAGGCAGAAACAAGCAAGCAGGGAAGAAACAAACAACAACAACAAAAAATAAACAAATAACAGGGAAAAAAGAAGGGAGAGTTCTTCTCCAGGCAATCTCTTGCCAGGCAGGTGCTCTACCACTTGAGCCCAGTCTCCAGCCCTTTTTAATTTGGTTATTTTTGATAGGGTTTTGCATTTATTCCCGGGCAAGCCTGGACTGTGATCCTCCTATTTATGCTTCTTGTGTAGCTGGGATGGCAGGACACACACCAGCACACCCAGCAAGTCTTGCAAATTTTTATTTGCCATTATTTCAAAAGAGAAAAACAAAACAAAGAAAGAGTGGTGAAAGGGGACTAGCTTTTTCACCACATAGCTGTGTCTTAAGGTCATGTGTGTGACATGCACCCCCAGCATCATCTCCAGGCTCTCTGTGGCCCCCCAGGGCTAGGGGTATTGGTGGGGGCAGGGCAGAGATGCAAGGAGGCCAAGTTTAAGTGTCATCTACATACCGGAAGGTCTTCAGCTCAGAGAGGGACATCAGGCTTTGCAGCAGTAGGGAACTGGCATTGCTGGCATCACAGAGATTAACCTGGGACAAGCTGAAAAGGCCCAAGAATATTCCAGAGGATTTCACGTTGGCCACACTCCCAGGGGTCAACCTAGGAGAAGGGCCACCCAAGAGGTCCCCTCTGCCCCAGTGGTCAAGTATGATTCTCTCCTGCATAGGGAAGCAAGAGTGCCAGGGTCACATGTGCCCTGGAGTAGACACTGGGGTTAACCAGAGAACTCTGGGCCTCAGACACTGTTTCTGGGGCTAACCTGAGCTGCCGCAGCCTGGCACATGTCATCAGTTGTCTTACAAGAAGGTTACGGTGAGTTTCAAGGTCACAGTGAGTCAACCTGGAGGCAGACCAGAAGAAGGCAATTTCTGAACACTTAGTCCACTAGGGGGGATTCAGTCCCTGCCTTGCATTTAAGCTGACACTTGAAGGATGAAGAATTATAGCCAGGTGAAAGAGGAAGAACGTAGGTGAGGAAAAAAAAAATTCTAGGCATAGGGAACAGCCTATGCAAAGGTCCTGAGAGGTCAAAGACAGAAAGTTGATATTGGAGGCACTGAAAGCTGGTAAGGATAACTGGGGTTGTGACTGGGTTTGGCATGGGAATGGAGAATGTTGGGAGTAGACCTCATAGGCCATAGAGGGACTGGACATCAAAGGACACTGAGCTGGGGCAAGAGAAAAATTGATCTGAAGCAGCCATGCATCCCCAGCTACTCCCTTGGGATTTCAGGTGCCAGGTCCTACCTGAGGGCCATGGCCTCTGGACTCTCTTCCTGATGAGGAAATTCCAGCTGAACCCAGAGCTGCTGCTGGGTCTCAGAGATGCTGAGGAGGAGAGAGGGGCTTGAGGCCCAGGAAAGGTCTGCCTGGCAGGCTGAGCTGAGCCTGGGGCTTCCTGGCCTCTGACTCTAAGCTCCTAGACCTCTGCCTGGGTCCCCTCCTCCCCTGCAGGGCCCACCTTGGGATGTGAAGGTAGTTGCTTCCCTGAGTCACATACCCAAAAGCAGTGTTTTCAATGGAGCCCAAGGCCTCATGCATGTAGGCAAGCGTTCTATCTAGTTACACTCCCAAACTTTTTTCCCAGTCTTGATATTGTTCCCAGGCTGACTTTGATCTCCTGGGCTCAAGCAATCTTCCCACCTTGCTTTCCAAGTAGCTGGAATCACAGGCACGTACCACCTCACCCAGCACCTTTCAACAATTTCAAGTGACTCCATTGATGAGGCTTTCAGACCATGACGGAGAGCCATGACAGGTCTCCAAAGACAGTTCCAGAATTTTCCAAGGAAGGAGCACAGGGTGGCATGCATTGGAGGGCAGGGCAGGGGACTTGTCTGCAGGCTGCATCTGTACTCTGAGCTCCCTGACTTTGGTTGATGTCAGGTTCACAGAGTGGGGAGGGGGCTTTGTGGAGGGGTCAGAAAGAGCTGCTAAGCTATCCTTTATTGATCTCCCTGGAGGAAGGCAGGTGGAACCCAGAGTAGGCTATGCCACTGATGGTGGCCACCAGGCCCCTTTACACACCAGAACTCGTCTGATCCTCGTCCTGTCTAGAGTAGGAGGTTGGGGCCAGGGAGGCACGGTCAGGGGCTCAGACCAGAAAACTGCCAGTTGGGATCTGAGACACCATCAGAGATGCCAAATCCTCTGCTCTGAGCCTCTGAGCTCCTCCACATCACTGTCATCTCTGGCCTCAGAGACACAGTGTGTTACTGCACCCAGGGGCTGCTTCCAGGTAACCCACCAGGACTCCCAGCTGCATCTGCCTGGATCAGCAGTCCCTTGTCTTGAGTCTGAGGCTGCCTTCCTTTGACGCTGATGCCTACTGCTGCATAAGTCCCAACAAATGTATGCGGACCCTCATGTATGTCCTGGAGCTCCTGCCATCTTGGGGATACAGAGAAGTTGCCAGAAACACAGCTGATACCCCGTAAGACAAGAGACCAACATCTAAAAGGTCAAGGGGATGTCCCATTCATGGAAAGATGAACTCTGAAGGGGCCTCCCCCTGGACTCACCTTATCTCAGTGACATGGCCTGAGGCCTGGGTGCAGACTTCTAGCAAGGCAGGCACACCAACTTTGCCCACCCATGGCTCCTCTACCCTGTCATGGAAGGGGACACACAGACAAGGTCCTTCAAGGTGAACAGCAGCTAATTAGCCCAGCACCACACAGCTGAAAAGCCAGCTCCACCCATGCAAATGTGGACCATGCCCCAGTCCTAGGTGCAACAAGTCAGCTGTCCTGTTTGGAGAACCATGGGGGAAATTTTAGATGAGACGAGGTAACTCATGGCCCCACAGACTTGCCATGTGACTATGTAGCAAGTGTCCTTACTTTTTAGAGACTTGTGAAATATTTAGGAGTGATGTTTTATGAGGTCTATAAGTTTACTTTAGAATTAGCTAAAAAATAAAAATCTGAAGCAAATATGGGAGAACATGAACAGTTGTCAAACCTAGATTATGGGATATGAATCTTAAAAATTATTCTCTACTTTTTGGTATGTTTAAATGGTTTAAACTATGGTGAACATACAAACATGTTTGTTTTATGCTGTTTTTATCCTCACTTGGGTCTCCTTTGGAGTTTTGGTTTTTTTTAGTTTTTAAAACCCAAAGCACAGGCCCCACCCTGGCAGGGATGCCCTCTCTCTGTGTCTGGGGGTGGCTCTGGGCAGGTGGCAGGGTTCTGGGTGCAGGGAATTGCCAGGGTCCCTACTCTGGGAGTGGCCTCCGGCCTGCCATGCCCCCATTCGTGCCATGGTCTCCTAGGGGCTGGAGGAAGATACCTGAGGTGGAGCAGCCCGGCTGGTCGCCTCACCCCACTCAGTAGGGTGGTCAGCTGCGTCAGGTCCAAGATGCAGTGCGTCAGTCTGGGGACAGAGGTCAGTTACTGGCGTGACTCCAGCAGGGTGCCCCCACCTCTCCTGCTATCCCTGAGGACTGGGTCTGGTCACTCACGTGAGCTCCACCAGCTGGAGGGCCTGGCTCAGGCCAGTGGCCAGTCTGAGTGTGTGCTCCTGTCCGAAGTTGCACTCGCTCAGCCTGAGAGAGGAGGACAAGGGGAAGAGCCTGAGGGGGTCTGGGGGCTGCTGGCTTCACTTCCTCCCAGTCTTCCTGAGGACCAATTGGGTCCTATGGTCCTATGAAGCCTTCATAAGGCAAAGACCTGGGCTAGAGCCTATGGGAGGTGAAAGATGTAGTTCCTGCCTTGGGAGCTAGCTCCTCCTCCTCCTTCTCCCTCTCTCTTGGTAGTACTGGGGTTAGAACTCAGGGTCTCGTGATTGCTAGGCAGAGACTCTACTACTTAAGCCATGGCATCAGTCCTTTTAGCTGTAGTTATTTCTTGAACAAAGTCTTGTGCTCACCTGGGCCAGCCTGGACCACAGTCTTACCTATATGTCCCTCACAGCTGGGATGACAGGCATGGGCCATTACATCTAGCTTAATGGTTGAGATGGGGTCTTGCTAACTTTTTGCCTGGGCTAACCTCAAACTGTATCCTCCCAATCTCTGCCTCCCAAGTAGCTGGGATTATAGGTATGAGCCCCCACACCTGGTCTAGCTTCTTGTCTCTTGATGGAGGGCCCCACCCCAACATAGTGTTGGCAGTAAGTCCATTTGTGGGCTCCACTCTATGCCAGGCACTGTGCCAGCTGCTAGGGGAAGAGGGTGGTGCCTTATACACAGCATGTCACTTACTTCTGACAGCACCGTTTACATGGGCACACAGCTGGTAAGTTATTTCTGGTAAGGCAGATTGGTTTCAGTCTTGGACAGTCTGACTCTACCGTATACTGCTTTATTGGAGATCCCTTGGGAAGGAGGGTGAGCCTGGAATTCTCAGCTATGGCCCTGCCCCCTGAGTGGGTGGCAGTGGCTGCAGGACCCTGCAGGAGGCTCACTCTGCACTGTCAGGGGACAGTGCACCTTGCTGGAGGCTTCCAGGAGGGGTCCATGTGTGAGCTGGGTCTTAAAAGGTGGGGTGAATTTTCTGTCGGCAAGAGTCGGGGAGATGCCAGGCTGAGGGCCCAGCAGGAACACAGCAAAGGCCGCATCAGGCAGGGTGCGCTCGGACAACGAGTGAAGTGTGTGCTGTGTATGTGTTTGGAATATGGTTTGTGTGGTGCTGTGTTGTGTGTTGTGTGTAGCTCTTGTATATGTAAGAAAATATGTATGTGGTATGCGAGTATGTGTAGTATAAGCTTGTGTCCTGTGTGTTGTGTGTGTTATGTGGAATGTGGTCTGTGTGGTATGTGTGTGTTATATGTTGTGTGTTGTGGTATGTATGTGATGAATATGTGGGAGGGTACGGTGTGTGGTGTTGGTGGTGGACCAATATGGTGGGAGATAATAGCTGGATTAGACTGTGAGGGGATGGGACCAGGCTAAGTAACTTGGACTATATCCTGGGGACAATAGGGAGCCACTGAAGGGCTTAGAGCAATAGAGTGGCAAAGTCAGATGTGTGTTGTGAAGAGCCTTTTGTGTGCTATGAAATGAATGTATTGCAGAGGCCTGGCTAGAGGCAGGGGACCAGTTTATAGGCCATGTTCACAGCTGAGTAAGACATGTGAAGGAACTGCCCAAGGGCAGGCTGGTGAGGGAGAGAGCCCAGGGCCACCAGGGAGTAAGGATAATAATAGCTATGGCAACACTCAGGGGGCCAGGCCTTCACAAGCTTTGTACAATGCACACGTTGAGTCTTCATAGCCCTATGACAGGTTATGCTGTGATCCCTACGGTACCTACAGGAGCTGGGACACAGGCTCAGTAACTGGTCCACGACCACACAGCTGGTGTGGTAGAGCTGTGGCCCCAGAATTCCAACCATGACCTCCAGAGGCCTCAAGACTCAGAGAATTCGCACCTGGCCCCGAGGCTCGAGTATAGTGCAAAGACCCCGAGTGAGAATGGAGGTTGGGGGACATCTGTGGTCACCTGGGGACCAAAACCAGGCTGTCTGAGGAAGAGAGGGCCCCATGAGGGAGGTGTGAGGGCCCCCTTCTTTCTCCCACCCATCATTCCACCTGGGGTTACCTCAGCGTCACCCTGGCCTCCTCTTGCTGAGAGAAGTATATCTGGAAATTCTGCTCAGGGCCCAGGCTGCAGAGAGAGGAGGGCAGGGAAGTGTGGCTGCCCAGACACACCAGTGTCCTAGACACCCAGGGGACACAGAGGGAAGGGGCTGTGCATGCAGGGACAAGGGAAAGTGGAGGTCACAGAAGTAGAGACCCTTGTGGAGCAAACCCATCTGTGAGGATGGTAACACCTTCCCACTCCTGCAGCCCCTGGGAACCAGAGGACAGAACTCAGAGAGAGGCAAAGGTCACCCCACATCACACAGACAGAAAGAAGGCTGGGAAGTGTAGGAGTCTTACAACCCCCCACCCCCAGTCAATGGCACTAACGTCGCCTTACTTCACCGAGGCTGCCTGGACACGAGGACAGGAAGTCAGTGTCTCCACCAGGTGCAGGGCCCCTTCCTGAGAGATGTTGTTGTGACTCAGGCTAGGAGAGAAGTGAGGCTCAGGAAGGGGCTCTGCCCACTCCTCTCATCTCCCTTCAGCTGTCATTTTCAGGAAGAGAGGCTCAATGTTCAAGCCACCATTCTCCAGATGGAGATGCTGAAGCCCAGAGAGAGGCCCAGAAGGGACACTCCCCCACCCAGGTGAGCACCAGAGCCTGGGTCCTGAAGAACTGTTCTGGCTGTGTGGTCTGGGACAGGGCATTGAGCCTCAGCTGGGCCAGGAACTCCCAGAGTGAGAAGCTTGGCTGCCAAGTGACAGGTTATATCCTGACTCTGGCTGTCCATCTTCCAAGTCACTGGGGAGAAGATGGTGGAGAGTGTAGATGGCTTCCTGGGGCCCTGACCCTGTTGAGGGCACAACTCCAAATTCATGTCCCTTAGTTGGGTTGAAGGGCTTCAGAAATGGGATGAACCGGGAGCCAGTGGCTGCAATCCCACATGAGCTGGTTGGGGATGAAATGTCACTTCCTGCCCCTGTGTCAGTTTGACTGGAGGGAGACATGGTGATGGGGAGGGGGGAGGGTCACCTGGCCATAAGCCATAGCCTCTCTCAAGTGTATGGCAGAGGATCTGCCCATAGCGGGCATGAAGGAGAAGAAAGGATGCCAGGGAGGGGAGCAGTAAGAATTACCCTTTGCTTCCTGACCCTCGCCTTCTGGGGATCCCCAGGGATGCTCTCTAAGAGGTCCATTCATGCTCTCAGCCAAAGGGAGTCCTCTTCCCACCTGTCTCCAGACTGCCCCCACTTACTCAAGCCTCCCAGAGATGGGCGTCTGTGGCAGGTGTTCCAGAAGGGATCTGAGCCCATCATCACCCAGCAGGTTTGTCGCCAGGCTGTGAGAGGTAAGGAGCCATTGGTGGTGGTCAAGTGCCTCTCCAAGCTCCACCTGCTCTTCATGGTCCCCTGTGGCCACTGTGTTGACTGTCACTGCTACTCAACATCACCATGCCAGCCCCCGTGTCACCTCACTCATCACCACTCACATCTTTATCAGCTCCCACATTCCCCCGCCCTGCCCCGCACCGGCACCACAGTAAATCAGTCCTCACGGTCCTCTGCAATAGTGGTGGCTTTCAGGGCTTGGATCCCTCCAGCAGGCTTTCAGGAGTCACAGTTAAACCAGCTTTTCCCTGGCCCTTAGCTTGCATCAGTTGGGAACCACAATTTCCAAACAAGAATAAACTCAGGAAAGAGAAAACTGTTTGGAAGGTGAGTGTTCCTTAATAAATTCCTCTTAATTTGGGAGTGTGGTACCAGACATGTCTGTTGCCTGAATACTTCCTTATTTCCCTTCCTCACGGCATTCTGTGGTCTCACAACAGATTCAGAGGTGACACACCATTGTGATTCAGCTGTCTTGTCATCCTCTGATACGTTTGAAACTGCTTTTTGTGCGTTTTATACAGGGTCTCAGCTGGGTATCTCATGTTGGACTATAGCTCTCAATCCTTTTGCCTCAGTCTCCCGTGTACTGCGATTATAGGTGTGTACCACCATGCCTGGATCTCTGGCATTTTTGATGGTTGTTTATTTTGTCTTTTCCTGAGAAACTTCATTTAAAAATTGCTTTGTCTCATGAAACCACTTAATAAAATGTCCTTGAAATAAATAAGAAAATTTACTTCTCTGTGAATGAAACATATTGCTCATTCATCTTTTTTTTTTGGCACTGGGCTTGAATTTAGGGCCTCATGCTTGCCAGGATATATACTTTTTTAATTTTTATTTTATTTTTTTTTTATGGGGCTCAGGGCTTCGAGCTTATAAAGTAGGCGCTCTACCATTTGGGCCACACTTCCAGTTTGCTCTGGTTATTTTGGAGATGGGGTCTTGTGACGTATTTGCCTGGCTGGCCTTGAATCATGATCCTCTAGATCTCAGTCTCCCAACTAGATAGGATTACAGGAATGAGCCACCTATGCCTGGCCTCAATAGGAGTTAAACTCTGTTCTGTTTTGATAGACTGCTCCTTAATTTCTCAGCTGCCCAAGGCTGGACTTCTAATGACTGTGAACAAAGACCCTGCATTGTCTTGACCTTAGACAAGTTCCTAAACTCTCTGATCCCCAGTTCCCTCATCTGTAAAATGGGGACAATAACAGTACCACAGAGTTTTGGAAGGGTAGTAAGAACATGTGATATAGCCATGCACCAGTGGCTCATACCTCTAGTCCTGGCTGCTTGGGAATCTGAGGTTGGGAGGATCTTGGTTCAAGATCAGCCCAGAGAAATACTTTGCAAGATCCCATCTTCAAATAACTAGAGCAATGGGCTGGTGGAGTGGCTTAAATGGTAGGGCACCTGCCTAGCAAGTGTGAGGCCCTGAATTCAAGCCCCAGAGCTGCCAAAAAAATTCACAAATCTGTTTTGGGCTGGCAGAGTAGAGCTCCTGCGTAGCAAGCATGAGGCCCTGAGTTCAAACCCCAGTACTGCCAAATAAATAAATAAATAACCAGAGTGAAATAGACTGGAGGTGGGGCTTAAGCAGTAGAGTGTCTTCTTTGCAAGCGAAGCCCTGAGTCCAAACGCCAGTCCCACCAAAAAACAAAAAAAGAAGCAATGCACTTAGAGAAGGGAGAAAGCGCTTCTTGGGCATTAGCTATTGTTATTGTTTTTCTGCCCAAGTGGGGCCTGCCCTCTTTGATTGACCAAGGCAGGTCACAGGGATGCTGTTCTCATCAGCACAAAAGTCTATGAATCCTTACCACAGCTGGCTCCTGGTCCCACCACAGCTAAGCTGCTTAGTACTTTTGGCCACCTGCCTGACAAGTAAATGGATCCTTCACATTAGCCCCCCATCTGTCTGCAGGCTTGGACATACTAGGTCAACAGGAGGCTGAGGGGCTCCTGGTACCCTCTCTGCAGGACTTCCTCAGTTTGAGGGGACCCCAGAGCCTAGCTGGGCCACGGGGGAGAGGGATTAGGAGAGAGAACAGGGGTACAGGAAAGCCGTATGGATGCAACCCAGAATTCCCCACTTCCCCCACTAGCTGGTTCAGAGAGCTGAGGGTGAGCACATTGACACACACAAACACACATCCTCCTCCAGCCCTACCATGTGTGCTCCTCTCCCTCTCCTTCTCCCTGACTTACTCCAGGTGGCTGAGGGCTTCGCACTTGCTCAGCAAGCAGCAGAGTGGTTCCACTTGCTCCTGGCTGAGGCTGCAGTCCAGAAACCTGCAGGGAGGCCAAGGGACAAACCAGAGGGACAGGGTTGCTTGCTCCTCAGACCACCTCTATCCTGTCTCATTCTGAGTATATCCTCTGTCCTGTAGGTGAGCTCCCACCCAAACTGGGGTCCTCTGGAAACACTCAGCACCCACTACCCCCACTCTGCACAACAGGCCTCACTTGGCATCCATCTCCTCCCTCTGGACTGGGGTGGTTCTCAAAGTATTGTCCCCAACCAGTGGAATCAGCATCACTTGGGAACTTGAGATGGAAATTCTGGGACCTCAGCCCAATCCACTGGATAAAAAACTCAGGTCCTCCAGGGAATTTTGATCAAGTTCAAGAACTACAGCTCACTTTAGTGACTGGACCCTCCTCTCCAAAAAACCCCAAACACAGGTCGGGGAGAATAAAGGTGACACCTGCTTTTGCCAAGGGCTATTAAAAGCTGGAATTTAAAGTGACAGTAAGCCTACCTTTGAAAGGCCTACACGGAGACCATGAAGTAAGGTAAATGAAGAGGCTATGACAAGCCAGCAATTTAAAAAAAAAAAAAATCCTAAAAGTTGCTAAATGGATAACTCAAATTTTTATCACCATGACTCTCCATTTTTCAAATTCTTAAGTTATCCATTATACTCTTACTTAGTTCATATTATCCTAAAACCAGCTCATTATTATTATTTTTGGGATAAGGTCTTTTTTTTAATGGTACAAATGGGCTTTATTAGTTGCAACAATAAATGGGGGAGAGGAGGGGATACATCAGCTGTCGCTCCTGGGACGGTACCGCAGACACCTAACAGCTCACTGCCCTTCCAACTGGAGATAAGGTCTTGTTATGGAGCCTAGGCAGGCCTCAAACTTGTGACCTCCTGCCTCAGCCTCCTGAGTGCTGGGATAACAGGTGTGCACCCCGACTCCCAGCTTTCTTCTTTATATTTCATACATTTATTATAAAAGGAAACATTTTTTCACAGCAGAAATGGGAACTACGTATTGTATGCCACAGCCCAAAATCCTATGGACACACAGACACAACAATGTGATATTTAAGGTAGATACAGCCACCTGCTGAGGACTCGCTATTAAAAAGGGAGCTTAGGACTGGGGTGGGGTAGCTCAGTGGTAGAGTACTTGCCTAGCATGCTCGAGGCCTGACTTCCAGCCTCAGCACCAATGCTCACACACACGTGCCTGCTTAGCAAGTGAGACTTCCTCTTCAGGAAGGGAGATGAGAGGGAATATCAACCTCATTCAGTCACTTGATGGTGATGAGCTAAGCCCCCTACAATCAGCCCAACCTCCTATGAGTCTTCCCGGCCCAGTCTGCATCTTACATTTTGGAAATTGATGACTTTGAAACTATGAAGTCGGATTAAGGCAGGGCTTGGTCATGGTCAGTAAATGGCAGCCCAGGTCCAGGGAGGCCTGCAAACCTCAATTATTTACTGTCTAACCTTGACAGAAGGAGCTTGATTGTCCCTGGACTTGGAGCACAGTCAGCCACTGACTCCATCCCAGCACCATCGCTCACTACTGTGTGACCAGGGCTTCAAGCTCACAGGAGTGAACACACAGGAGGCTCCCAGATGGCACCCTCAGGTGGCCAGCGGTTAGTGCTCAGCAGGCATCAGCTAGTCCATCCTTTCTTCTTTAACACCCATGCACCAGCACCCATGGAGCACTGTCTTGGTCTGCCAGGGGGAGGCTACTTGTCCCCGTGAGGGCTTGGCCTCACACGTGGCTTCATTCAGCTCCCTTCTCACTCTGCCATGGCAGGCCCCTGTGGTGCTGGGGCTTGAACGCTGGCAGGCAGGCAGTACGCCAGTTCCCCGAGGTCTGGTCCAGTCACACACAGCCTCCCTGTTTGCCCTTGGATGAAGCTCAAGCCTCCCAGGACCTTTGTTTCTTTGTATTGGGAAGCAAGCCCCCTCAGGTCCTTCCAGGGGAATGTTCTTCAGCAGGCAGGCAGCACTCTGCTCCCACCACCAGGACGTGGGTCTACTTGTCCCCAAATCCCACTGACTGCCGAAGCATGGTTCAGGGGGACTTACCCACAGCACACGCCTTCCTGCTCCTCACTGGACCCGAAGTGTAGGGCCACATGATTCAGGGATCTGGAGCAGACAGCACCTGGCTCAGCCACCCTTGGCCATGATCTTGAGATGTCCCAGGGGGCAGCCACCTCTCCTCTGGAGCCAGGGCTCTGTGTGGGTCCTCCCAACTTCTCACACCTACCAGGCTCCAGGCCCAACCCTCCAAAACCAGTCCCGGGTATCTCAGATCGATGCCCACCTGAGCTCCACCTTCTGAACCTTTGGGCACAGGCTGAAGATGTCTGCCAGCAGTAAGGGGCTCCTTGGGGACAGTGCCGTCTGGCTCAGCCTGAAAAGGACAGGGGTAGAGTCAAGCAAGATCAATGGCCAACAAACCTGGATAGGCAGGAGGAGAGCAGGACGCCTAGGGGCTGCAGCTCAGCAAGGAAGAAGCAGGAATGCAAAAGCGACAAAGAGAGGATTGGGGTCAGAAAGATTTTTTTTTCTTTTGATGGGACTGGGGTTTGAACTCAGGACTTTATGCTTGCAAAGCAGGCTCTCTACCGCTTGAGCCACACCTCCAGTCCATTTTGCTCTGGTTATTTTGGAGATGGAGTCTCCTGTGTGCCCAGGCTGGCCTCACATCGCTATCCTCTTGCTCTCATCCTCCCAAGCAGCTGGGATTGCAGGCATGGGCCACCAGTGCCTGGCCAGACTTGGTTTTGAGTCCCAGTTCTGCTTACTAGTTAAGTGACCTTGAACAAGTCACCGAACCTTTGTAGGCCTTGGTCTCCTTTTCTGAAAAACAAGACTAATCGTGGTATACCTTTCTTTCCTATGTCAGATTTAGTCACACCCAGCTGGCACATGGCCTGGCACAAGAGAGCAAGGCTATGTTGTTACTATTATTTCTACTGTTTGTACCATGAGCACAGATTGGACAGACAGGTGGGTCCCTGCTGACATCATGGGAAGCTTCAGGCCCTCAGGCAGGGTTTGTCAGCACCATAGGGTGCTTTGGGACCCAAAGGTTCCTGTTGTGGGCAACTGTCCTTGTGCCCTATGTGATGTTAAGCAGAACTCAGAGACCAGTAGTACTGACTCCTGTCCTAGTCACAGCTGCCCAAAACATCTCCACACATGGCCACATTTGACCTCAGGGGCATAACCACCCCTACTTGTAAACTGCTGCATACAGAAAGCGAGATGGGTTCATCTTGCTCGTATCCCTGGGGTTTCCAGAAGCTCTCCCTCAGCTCCACTCTCAGACCTCCCTAATCCCCTCACTGGATCGGCCCCATCACCTCTCAGCCTGACCACACCCAGCTCCTCCTGCCTCCCACTTCCATTCTTGTTCCCTAATCCCTTCCCTACCTGCAGCCAAATTGAGCTTTTGAAAATTCAAATCATTCCCGGCCATCAGACCCTGTGTGATGTGACCAGTCTGGGCCATCAGACCCTGTGTGATGTGACCAGTCTGGGCCACCTCTCTCCACCTCTTCTCCCAGGCCGTTTCCACCCTGCCAGCCACAGGCCTCTGGCTTCACTGGGCTCCAGGGTTCCTGGAGCCCACCAAGCTCAGTCACACCTTAGGTCTTCACACATGCTGTTCCCTCTGCCTGGAAGGCAGTTCCCTGCCCTTCACAGGCTGGCTCCCTCTCCTTCTGCAGGGCTCAGCTCAGGGTCCCTCCTCAGAGACCTTCCCTGAACACTTTTAAAATGACACATTATCACTGGCCACATGGAGTTTCCCTTTGCTTATTGTTCAGCTGCAGAAAAAACAAGGTCACTCCAGAAGGACCTCGTCATTGTCTTTTCTTCTGGCACATTTCCCTTCACCACACCCCAGCAGGTGCACACACACTCTGAGTTGGGTAATTCAAAGTTTAAGTCCTGAGAAGGACTATCCAGATGAGGAGTGGGAGCTGATGCTGTGTGACTCAGACTGTGAGAAGCCCTTCTCCGGTGTGAGGTTTTCCACTTGTTCATTTTTAGCCTATCACACCCCATGTGACTAAAGGAGGCCTTCCTGACCCCCTCTGTGGACAAGGTGGGACCCTCAGGCTGGTAGGACCTGCTCCTCTGCAGCTGCCCATGTCTGGAAGGTGCCTGCAGGATAAGCGAGATCCCTGAGGCAGAGGCGAGCAGTCTCAGGGATCCTGGAGAGCACCTTTGGTGCTTAAGGTGCTGTTATTAATATTATGATTTAATTTCCTGTTGTATTTTTCCATCTCAGCTGAAGCTGCTCTCCCCCCTCTAGAAGAATATTTAAAGTAAATCCTTTTTAAATTCTAACCAGTCTGAGCCAAAATTAGAAAACAAGTTTTAAATACTTGGGGCGAAGCTGCTTAAATTCCTCCCCTTTGATGGGGTTAGACAGTGACCTTTAAAACCGGGTGTGACATACATACAGACCTCCATCAATACAGGCTGTTTTTAGGGGTAGGTGACCTTTCTGTCAGCAGCCTGTTGGCTACATACTTCCTTCATCAGCTGGCTTTTGAGCATCTGGCCTGTTTGAGACCCAACCCTGAAGAAGGGCTGGGGAAGAATCACCCCATTTGTCAGAAGAGGAAACTGAGACCCAGGGTGGACAATCACTCCCCACCCCCACCCCCCCGAGGTTGACAAAAAATTAAGCTAAATCTGGGAGCAGATGAAATGATGAAGGGTCCAAGGGAAGGAGGGAGAAGGAAGGGTGGCTTTGTAGCGCAAGAGCCCCGGGATGCAGGCACAGGGGTGAAATGCAGAAATGTTCAATCTTACTGCAGCAGGCTTAGTTGGGGCAGCCGGGGCAAGCAGTGCAAAAGGGTCTTTAGGCTCTCATCACTCAGGGCCTTGCAGGACAATCTGTGAAACAAAGCATCTGAATGAGGTGGGAAACCTAGGAAAGCAGGGAGCATGGAAACATCCCCTCCCAGCACTGGGTCTGGCAAAAGAGGAAGGTCAGATGAAACCATTGCTTTTGTTGCAGGACTTCTCAGAGCCTTTAATAGGCTGCTGGGCATTGCCAGTTTCCAAGGGGCTAGAGTAGATCTGCCCCACTCAATGGACAAGTGGGATTGTGATTGGAGGGCCGTGAAAATTATTGTTCTGTAGAACGTGTTCCTTAAGAAAAGGATGCTGCCTTTCCCAGACTGATGGAAACTCGGCGAGCGGCAGGTCAGCATGGGAGAGAAAGAAACAGTTAGCTCAGGTCTCTGTGGATCAGCAAACCCAACTGCCAGCTCATCACTGGCCCACTGCCCACGGGAGAAACTTGAGACACCCTGGGATTCATGTGCAGCCCCTCCACAGGGGCCTGGAGCCACCTCCTGTCCCTAGAGGCCTTTGGGCAGTGTTCTCCTGCCTTCTCCCCTTTGCCCTTTGCTGCTCCTCTTTCCTCATTCTTCCACCTTTGCCCTCTGAGGCTGCCTTTTTCCACACTGCAACCTCCCGTGCCCGGTCTGCTGCCTCTGCTGTGTTCTTTGCTTGGCTGGGCAGGGGCAGAAAACCAGCATCAACTGCAGGGGAGGAACGGCCTGTGATCCTGGAGCTGGGGCCTCATGGTGGTACCTTTGCCTTGGCCCCGGCTCAGCTCAGCTCTTTTGCCCCAGGGCCTGGCTCCAAAGCACATTCAGAACTGGGGCCTTTGCTCAGAGTGATCTTTTCTCAATCTCTCTGCAGCGGTTTCCACCAGACCCCAAGCCCACAGCACTGTGGCCTCTGGTTGGGTAAAGGCAGATTTGCATACCATTTTTTTGTGTGTGTTTGTGTGTGGTGCTGTGGCTTGAACTCAGGGCCTACACCTTGAGCCACTCCACTAACCCTTTTTTGTGATGAATTTTTTAGAGATACGGGTCTGATGAACTATTTGCCCAGGCTGGCTTCAAACCTTAATCCTCCTGGTCTCTGCCTCCTGAGTAGCTAGGATTACAGGCATGAGCACCAGTAACTCACAAGTAACTGTTGGTTCCCTCACGGTAGCCAACAGTATGGTGGCAAGTAGACCTGTGCAGGTTGAGCTGACTACTTCCTGGCCTTCCCAGGGGACTTACTGTCAGCTAGCCAACTGCTGGACTTGAGCAGTAAGCACCTCGGTGACTGTTGACAGCAGTCATCCTGCAGAGGTCACAGTACTCCACAGCTGGCAAAGTGCATTGATGCTCATCTTCCCATGTCTCCAAACCACAGCTGACAGAGGGACCCTGACTACCCAGCCAGCGCTCAGACCAGACCTGCCTGTGTGCAGGCAGAAAGCCCCAGTGGGCAGAGCCTGCAACACCCAGTCGTCCTGTATCTCCCAGGGCTGGGTATACAGCAGATGCTTAGCAGCTGAATAATGCAAGAGTGATGCCACAAAAATACCCGAGAGCAGCCTGGCTTCTGGTCTAGACTCTAGAGTGGGTGCAATATACCCATGCTTGGGTGTGTAGGAGGTCTCAGCATTAAAAAGCATGGATGTACAAATACTCCAGAAAAGCCCAGAAGAGACAATCGGACAAATGGAATTGGTGGAACAGTTGATGATTTCAAGGAATTATTGTTAATAGTTCAGGTCCAATAATGGTTTTTACAGCTTTGTTAAAAAACAAAGCGTACTCAAATCTAGGCTACTGAAATAGCAACAGATAAAATTATAAAGTAGAATCATTTCAAAATAACTCAGAAGTGCATGTGTGCCACAAGTGTGCACAGGCATGTGAATGTGTACATGTGTGTGTGTGTGTGTGTGTGTGCACGTGCATGTGTGTGTGTGTGCACGTGTGTTGGGCCTCTGGGCTGATAAATACCAAGGTGTAATTAAGGGTCCTTTATTTGATTGTATCTCTAACCCCCTTCTCTCTCTCTCTCCCTCTCTCTCTCTCTCTCAGTCAGGGATGGAACCCAGAATCTTGTACAAGCTAGGCAAGCACTCTGTCACTGGGCTACCCCCTATCCCTTCTCTCTACTTCTACATAATAAGAGTGCTGTTGAAATTAAAAAGTGACCTCGCAGTGGGGAAACTGGACTACACAGCCTTGGCCAGGTGATCAAGGTCAGTATCAGCAGCGTCCTTCAGGTTGAAGGCATGCAGCCAGAGATGTGATGAGAGACTCTTCACCTCAGCGGTGATTTTCTTCCTCCAAAGCCACCCCAGTTTAACCATGAGGAAAAAACACCAAACTCCAGTGGGGTCAATTTACAAAATCCCTGACCAGCCCTCAAAATTGCCCAGGACATGAAAAGCAAAGACAGGGCGAGAAACTGCCAGAGGCAGAGATTACTAAGGACGACAAAGTCTAAATGAGAGGCGGGTCCTGAGGGGGAGTCTGGTCAGAGGAGACCTGGCATTAGTGGACAAGTTGGTGAAGTCCAACAAAGCCTGAAGTTAATAGTCATGTACTGAGATTGGTTATTTGTTAGGACTGGGGTTTGAACTCAGGGCTTTGTGCTTGCAAAGCAGGTGCTCTACTATTCAAGCCACACCTCTGGTTATTTTGGAGATGGGGGTCTCATGAACTATTTGCCTGGGCTGGCCTCAAACTGTGATCCTTCCAATCTCAGCCTCCCAAGTAGCTAGGATTACAGACCTGAGCTACCACGCCCAGCTGAGGTTGGCTTCTTTGTTATGCCAGATGCACTGTGGCAATGCAAGAAGCTAAACAAAGTTTTGCAACTTTTCATAAATCAAGTCTAAAACTATTCTTAAATAGCTTGGTAAAAAATAAATCAAGCTGGACATAGTGGTGCATGCCTATAATCTTGGCACTTGGGAGGCTGTGGCAGGAGGATCTCAAGTCAAGGGCAGCTTGTCTCAAACAAAACAAAACAAAAAATGAATCAGCGCCATGGGGCTTGATCTCAGGGAAACCACTCTGTACGGCTGGGAGATAAAAGCTTTAGAGCTTGTGAAGTAAGATCCCATGACTGGCAGACAGTGTGAAACCCCTCTTTCCGTGCGTGTTTGAACACGAACAGCATGGAAAGGATGACAGGGAGCATCTTGTCAGAAGAGCTGGAAGGACGTTCAAGATGGATCCAGGAAGCAGGAAACAAGAAGAGTGTAGCAAAACGGAAAAGCCTCCGGTGTCATGTAAGAGAAATTGTAGACCACAGCTGGTCTAGGCCTGCAAGTTGAGCATTCCCAAACCTGAAAATCCAAAATCCAAAATGGTCCAAAATCCAAAATGTTTTGAGCACTGACATGACACCACAGGTGGAAAATTCCACACTTGACCTCGAGTGATGGGCTACAGTCAAAATGCAGGTGCACTAAACCTGTTGTTGACAATGACCTTCAGGCTGTGAGCAAAAGGTACATACGAATCATAAATGAATTTTGGTGTTTGACTTGGGTCTATCCCTGTGATATCTCACTATGCATATGCATGCATTCCAAAATCCAGAGGAATCCAGAATCACAAGTGTTTTGGATAAGGGACACCTACCTAGCATGTAATATGTGAATAGACAAGATGTAAAAGGTCACTTGGACAAATGACATTGGTTTAATGAGAGAAAGGAGTTGCTTGTGTGAGATGGGCTTTGGCTTGGAGTTCTTTATTTTAAGGTTAATTTTTCTATAAAATCACAACAATGACAACAAAAGGAAAGACTGACCATGTACTCTGCAGATGCAGGCTGAGGACCAGGAGTTAAAGCCATGTGCCAAAGTCACCCAGCTTGTAGGTGGCTGAGCCAAGATTCCAAGACTGATTGCAAAGTCAGTCTCTGGTCACAGACCCAGGTGTTCTGGGGCAGGTAAGGAGTTAACCCCAGAGGGAGAGGGGTACCCCAAGGAAGGGCTTTCAAAAGTAATAAGCTGCAGCCACACAGGCAGGCCCAAATGGGAGCATGGGTGAGGCTGGGGTTGGGGGCTCCCAGGACCCCTGGGGTGAGTGGGTAGGGAAGGGGAAGCACATGGGGTGGGACTGGAGGGAAGGGACTGGGAAAGTCTCATTGGCTTCTACCCAGAACCCCCAGGTCCCTAGCCAGTCTCCCACATTGTGCCCTCAGGGCTGTGTCTTGTCACTTACTGGACTTCCAGTGGTCCTGGGCACTCCTCCAGAGTGGCACAGAGGCGGGTGAGGCTCGAGGGCTCCAGCTGACACTCCTTGAGGCTGCAAAGGGGCAGTGGGCAGGGCAGGAGATCAGAGGGGGCCCCGAGCCCCTGTCCAGCATGGGATACACTCTTCCTCCCAACAGCCCTCCTCCCAAGATGCAGGCACGGATCCTCTCCCACCCTGCAGGGCTCTCTCCTCCCAGTCTCACCTTAGCCCTGTTCCCACCACTCTGACAGTCACTGTGAGGGTCCCTGAGTGCCCAACTGCCCTTCCCACAGTCCCTGCCAGAGCCCGGGCCACCATTCTCACTCACCTGGGCCATTCAACACCCCTGGTCTCCCACTCTTGACTCCTACAATTCCTCACCACCCTGCAAGTGTCTTATCTTTTAATATTGCACATCTGACCAGGCCTCTCCACTGCTTAGAACCCTCTGTGGCTCCCTATTACCCTTAGATCAAAAGTGAAGGCCTTTCCCACAGCCTACTGGCCCCCACTCTCCTGCTCTGTGCTCCAGCCACACTGAAATGCTTCCTAAAAGCCATGCCTGCCCTCCTCCTGGCCTTGGCACTTGCTGTCGCTTCTGCTTCTGCCTTGGCTTAGGAATATCTTAGAGGAGGATGCTGAGGCCCAGCAGGGTTCTCAAAGCCCCTCATGGCTGAACTGGGAAACCTCCTAACCCCCAGGCCAGGCTCTAGCAAACGTAGCCTGCCTTTTTTTCTACACCAACTTTTCTTGTAAATGGGTGGTATATTTGCAGAGAGTCTAGTATCTTTCTGGAAATGGGTGTCCCCAGAGCAGATGGCAGCCCCAGGCAGGGAGTGGCCTCACATGCATTGGAGACATGTGGGGTCTTCTAACGAAAATGCAGGGACTTTGGCCAACTGAGTTGCCCCAAAGGGGCTGGCAGCCCCCAGCCCTGGCCCTCACACTCACTCCTCTTTCTTTTCCCTTTTCTCAAACTCTCTCTCTCTCTCTGCCCTGTCTCCCAGCCTCTAACTCTGACCCCACAGGCTCTGCCCACTCCCATGTGGTTACCCCTAGATAAGAAGTGGGAGGCAGTACCTGAAGCTCCTGGGGATGCAGCAGTGACGGAACCCTGAGAACTGGGCTCCAGCTGGGGACTCTGGCAAAGATCCATCAGCCAAGACATCCCTTGAAGTGGGGAAACCATTTAGAAAGGCGAGTTCAAGGTACTGGCAATGAATTCCCACACTCAGAAGTCAGGGCTGGACTTCGAGTCCAGGAAGGGGTCTTAGAACCACTAGGCCACTAGCCCAGCTCCTCCTTGTACAGGTAGAGGAACTGAGGCCCAGGACAAGGAAGCCAGAGGAGAAAAGCCAGCAGCTCACACCTGTCCAGATGAGCAGACCTGACCAGGTTAGGGGAGCTGGGGTGGACCCCTCCCCCACAACTAATTTGCATTCACGTGACTTCTTCCACCTTGTACCTCAGTTCTTTGTGCTTCAAGACCCCAGAGGGTCCCCAGAAACAGACACCCTATCTAGACTACTTGACTTTGGGCTACCCCTGTCTTCAGACAGTCCACCAGTCTGTGAAGTCACTGCCCAGCTGGCTTCTCTTTTAAGCCCTGGTCTGGGGTCAGCCTTCCCAGGTGAGGCCAGGACACCCAGCCCCACTAGGGGGCAGCAGGGAACATTCTTGAAACTAACGGGAATCCTAGCTGACCTCAAACATGAGGAAAGTGGTTTTTTCGGAGTACCAAGGGTTCTCTGCTTCTGAAACGTGATTCTTGAGGGTGAATGGGAAGTGTTGGGCTCAAGTCCCCAACATAACTGCTCCCCTGTCTCTTTCCACTTAGCAGGAATTGCTCCAGCACCACAACTGTGTCCTCCTCCCCACTGACCTCTCCCATAACTGGTGGGGGGCAGTTGGTTACTGAGTAGAGGGGTGCGGGTGGGGGCGGGGAGCTGCGGAAGCCTGAAGCTGTTGCACCAGACCTCAGAGGTCCACTCTTAGGCTGGGTGGTCCACTTGGGGCTGTGGGTGGGGCACCTGCAGGAAATGGGGACCAGAGAGCCCACCCTCCTCACCTGCCTCTCTTCTCACTTCTCAGAACGATGTGTTGGCTCTCAAAGCTGGAAGCAAAGAGGAAGCAGCCATCAGAGAAAGGTCAAAAGGCTCCCTTCCCTGGCTCCGAGAGGTGGACCTGGTCAGGCCAAGCAGGGCCTGGGAGTGACTATGTCAACAAATGGATTATATTTATCAAGGCACATACAGAACACACCACTGTTACCTCACTTGGTTTTCACAATAAAAGGAATTATTCTTGGCTTCATTTTACAGAGAAGGAAATTGAGGCACAGATAAGATTAAGGACAGCTGGGAAGTAGCCAAGTCTAGACTACCTGCCATGGCACCTCCATTCTTAGAGAAGGAGCTGCCCTAGAACCAGAGGATTTGCACTGAGGGTCGTGGGGCTATGAGTGGCTAGTGTCTTCCCTTCTAGAATCTCCTTAGCCCTAGGTGACTCGCAATTAAAACAGGTCCCTCAGCACCCAGTGGCTATCAGGGAGCTCCTAGTTTGCTTGCAAGTCTGAGGAAAATCAGAAGAGTGGGAAGGAGAGGTGTGGTCGTCCCATGGTGAATTTGGAGAAATTGAAGTGTTTCTGGGGGCTGTAATCATTCATTCATTCAGTGGACACCTGGCACATGCTCACTGTGCCTGCTACCATTCAAGACCCCCAAGATGCTATGTGACCAGACAGACAAGGGGCCTAAGCGGGAGAGATGGGGGGCGGAGGGGGGGAGCAGGAAGGCACACTCACCTGATGTCCAGGCGAAAAACCCACTTCAGGGTAACCATACACTGGGCCAAACGAAGCACAGCATCCAGGGATGAGTCACTCTTGCTGAGGCTGGAAAGCACAGGGTGACATTGTATCAGAGCACAGGGCAGGGGGGCTGTCCCCAAGGCCAGATGACGGACCCCCGGGGCCCCAGGCGATCAGAGAGCATCCCTCCCAACTTAATTGTACAGCTGGGGAAACGGAGGCTAGACAGAGGTGAGGGCTCACCCAAGGTGACCAGCCACGTTGGTGACAGAGCTTAGATTGGAACCTTGGGTTCCCTTGATCTGTGATGAATCTAAGGAGTGCTTTTTTGCCCAGAGCTGGGCTCAGTCTTCTCATCTGATAAAGGGGGATGGGGCCCAGGGCAAGATGAAAACGCAGGGCCTCCTGTTTCAAGAGCAGGGACAAGCTCTTCCTTCTCTTGAGATCCTCTGTCAGCCTGTCATGGGGCTTTTTAGTTGCCATGTGACGTCCCACTCCTCAGGCATAGGGGCCCTAGTAGGGTGAGAGTGAACCACAGGTATCCAGTCGCCCAGGCACCCGCCATATTAAGGACACCTGGGGATGCACTCCAAGCTCAAGCTACGGATCACCCGCCTACACGGGAAAGGCCCTACTTCCTGCCCAGGTGCAGGTCCCCAGCAGGACCAGAGGCCACTTCCTTCCTGACCAGCTCCCCAAAGACTCACTAGCAGAGCAGGAGGGGCCTCAGGTCACAGCACTCATTCTAGACATTGTAGCCACCAACAGTGACCACACCCACAGTTTAGGTGTTTGCTGATGGGACCAGGGCTCAGAGAGATGATGCAACTTGTCCAAGGTCACACAGCACATAGGTAGCAAAGCCGGCCTAGAACCCAAGACCTGTGACCTCTCTCTGGTTTCTTTCACTTTGGCCCAGGAAAGCTTGGGAGGACAGGGGGCCATGGAAGATAAGAATACTTGAGTCTATGGCAGGCAAAGTTCGGGGGTTCCTGGCCTCTTTCCAGGTCTTCCTTCCCACACTGAACATCTACCCTTCCTCCACCAGGTACTCAGGACCCTCCGGCTGCCTCAGACACCCTGGTGTTCTCTCTGTTATAAATCTTCCCTGCCTAGCCAGCCCAAGTCCCAACAAATACCCTTCCCTGTAGCCTAGGGCCAAAATGGCTGCCATCCATCCATCACCTAACACTACCCCATGCTTCCATAACGCCCGAAATTCCTTTAACAGTACCCATGCCCTCCTGCCCCAGGTGTCCTGACTTCCAGGAGCACATGCAGAGACACAAGACAGGTTAGAGAGATAAACCTGAGACAGAAGCTGCAGTGCAGAGTCCTGGGGCCCAGGCTCTATTCCAAATAAGCTGGTGTCTATTTTTAATCAGAGCGACAGCGTTCCCTGAGCTGGCCTTTGCTGAGCACTTGTCCTGTATCAGAGCTGGATGGGGATTCACACGCATTTTCTGATTGCATTTTTACCCTGACTCCCAGAGGGAGGATGAGGGGACTCAGAACACCCTGTCTGATGGGGACAGCCCCAGAGCTCTATCTGACTGGCTGCTTACTTCAAGGACTGCAGAGGACCCAGGCCTGGGAGCAGTTGGGCCAACAGGTCCACCCCTTCGTCCCCCAGAGCATTGCTGGATAAGCTGGAAGAGAAGGGAGAGAGAGGTTAGCAGAGGGTGGAGAGGGATTCTGGAGGAGCATGCGTCACCCACTCTTTTCTGGGCTTCTTTGGAGATGGGGGATCCAGCCTGGGCTGCAGGCCAGGTCTCAGTAAACCTCATGCAGGGAGCAGGTGCCCTGCCCCCTTCTTCCCTGAGGCTCATGGGTTCCTGGGGTGTTGGGGTGGGCTTAAGCGGATGTGAGGAGCTGGGGGCCAGTGGCTCTCGCCTATAATCCTAGCTACTCAGGAGGCAGAGATCAGGAGGATCATGGTTCAAAGCCAGCCAGGGCAAATAGTTCATGAGACCCTATCTTGAAAAAAAAAAAACAGCTGGTGGAGTGGCTCAAGGTGTAGGTCCTGAGTTCAAACCCCAGGAGCAGGAAAAAAAAAAGGTGTGGAACTGGGGCCAGAGAGTCACAACGTTCCTTGGGTTCTCTGCAGGCGTCGAGACTTCACTTGTTGTCTTCAAAGAGACACCAAGGCTCTCTGATCATCCTCCCCACTGCTTTCCCATGTGCAAACACTCACTCAAGGTGACCCAGGTGGCGGGGGTAGCAGCTTCCTCCCAGCACCTTGCAGAGCCGCTCTATGTGCTTGGCCTGGAAGCCGCAGTGTGTCAGCCTACAGGGGGAGACCCACAGTCCTGCAGCATCTGCCCGCAGCACAGAGGTGACAGCCACCTGTCACTCCTGACTCAGGCAGAGAGGAAGGCTTGTGGGAGAGGAGGGACTGGGACACACCTGGCAGACAGATGAGAGGGAGTGACACACATCACATGGATAAGATGTCATGTACAGGCAGAAAGAGAGACAGAGAGATACAAAAAGACAGACGGACAAGAGAAGGGGAGGGGTGTTGGTGGGAATCGGCAAGGCTGAGCTGGGTCTAGGCCAGGGTCCAGGGTCAGGGGAGCGGCAGGGGTGTGTGTGTGTGTGTGTGTGTGTGTGTGTGTGTGTGTGTGTGTGTGTGTGTGTGTGTGTGTGTGAGTATTGCTCTCCTCCTTACCACTGGGGCTCCGAGAGCTAAGGGAGAATGGCTGCAGAAGGGGGCTAAGAGGCTTCCTCATGAGCCTCATCTGGCATGGGGGTGGGGAATTAATAGGAAAACCCAGGCACAACTTCTGGACACATCAGGGCAAGGCGTCTTCCAGGGACCTGCAGGGCTGGAGCTTGGGAATGAGGACAGAAAAAAGCTGGAACCTTATAGGGCCTGGAGACCATTACTGTACCTGATCCTTTGGGAGCTCAGGGGTGGCTCAGAAGCCATCGGGGGCGTGAGACTGTCAAGAAAGAGAGACCCGGAGGGACATACATGAAGGCCAGCCTCAGCAAATGCCCTGCTTGCTGTCACCAAAGTCCATTCCCAGCCTCACTGTTTACCACCCAAACTCTATGCTTGGCTGGGAGAAGGGAGACTGGTTCCAGTTGGCCTGGTATGCAGGCTGGGACATATCTGTGACATCTTGCTGGGGTAATTCGGTATGTGGGAATTATCTAAATGCATTGCTTGCTGCACACATAGTAAATGCTCCATTCACCTTTGTGCTGTCACTGTCTTGTTGCCATCACCAGTGACATCAGAAATGTCAGTCCTGGCTCTAACCCTCCCTTTAAAGTTAAAACCCTACACAGGAGATTGTGGGTGGAACCCAAGGAGCAAGGAGCCAAGTTATTGCCTACGTACTGGGCTGGGGCAACCCAGGAAATCACCCTGGAGGAGGCAAACACCCCTTTCACGGGTCCTCATACCAAAGCAAGCGAGTTCTCACTAACATCAGAGCTGCAGGCCAGGCAGTAACTGAAGGCTTCAGTCTCCTGAGCATTTTTCTTTAGTTTCCCAGGCCTGCCTAGGCCTGCCATCCATGCCTGACACCTAAGGGCTCCCTTCAGATACACGGAGTGGGGAGACAGTCTGTCTTTTAACCCAGCCATCTATCTGCATCCCCTACCAAGTTCACTTGCTGACCCTTTGTGAATTCGCTAAGGTCTCCCTGGCCATTGATGGCATCTGACGTGGGGTCGGGGAGGGTGGCCCTGACCCAGAGGGAGCAGTGAGATGGTGAGGCCTACCTTTCCCAGGGTCCCTCCTGTGCCCCTGGCTCGTGGGCAAACATAAGGACCACAGTTTTGTGCAGCAGGCTGTGGAGAGAAGAGAGGGAGGAGAGGTTTCCGGTCTTTGGTGTTCATGTCCCTGTTTAACCCTGACCTGAAGAGACCCCTAAGGTATCCCTACCACCCTGTTCAGCTAAGTCACTTCCTCTGACCAACACTGAGGCCTGCCTACTACAGAGATTTCACAAACTTCTCGAGTGCCTAAGCATTCTCCTTGCCAGACAAGTCCATGAAAGAAAAATTAAATTGTGCCTTTCTTGTTATGGACCTCAGGCTGAAGCCCTCTTTCCTCTGCCAGTTGGTGTTCCTCATGTGCCCAGAGCACCTTAGGCTGTGGGTGCTGTCCCTTGTGAGCTGGGTTATCAGTAGGTCCTATAAATAAATATTTATTTTATTTTATTTTTGGTGGGACTGGGCTTTGAACTCAGGGCTTCACACTTGCGAAACAGGCACTCTACCACTTGAGCCACACCTCTAGCCGCAAATCTTTTATTTTTTGGTGGAACTGACATTTGCAGGGTTTTGAGCTTGCAAAGCAGTATCACTTGAGCCACACCTCCAGTGCATTCTGTTCTTGTTATTCTGAGATGGGGTCTGGTGAACTATTTGTCCAGGCTGGCCTCGAACTGTAGTCCTCTCGATCACAGCCTCCCAAGTAGCTAGGATTATAGGCATGAGCCACCAGCACCCAGTATCAAATCTTTTGTTTTTAAATGTAATTTTTTTCTTACAAAGATGGAATTGCAGATTTTCTTTTAAAAATAGGTTTTTGTGGCTGGTGGAATGGCTCAAGTGGTAGATTACCTGCCTAGCAAGCATGAGGTCCTGAGTTCAAATCCAAGTACCATAAAAAAAAAACTTTGGTTTTTTTTTTTTTTTTTTTAAAGGCTGGGCATAGTGGTTTTAAGTGCTGGGTCCATAATCCCAGCACTTGGAAGGTGGAGGTCGGAGGATGGAGAATTGTAAGCCTGTAGCCTGGGCTACATTGTTTACAAAATGTATTTTGGTAGGGGGAAGAGGAGATAAAGGACAGTGGTGGAGAGGATGAATTCAAGTATATTTGATATATTGCAAGAACTTTTGTAAATGTCACAATGTACTCTCACCCAGTACAGAAAAAAGATGTATTTATGTATTTTTAATTAATTAGTTAAACTTTTTGGCAGTACTGGGGTTTGAACTCAGAGCCTTATGCTTGAGAGGTGAGTATGCCACCATTTGAGGCATGCTTCCAGGTTTAAAAAAAAGTTTCTTTAAAAGGGACACGTGAAGCAAGAGTGGCAAATTATGATTACTAATAATCAACCATTGCATACGGGAACAGATTGTATCATTCTCTCTACCTTTAAAGGTGTTTGTTATGAAGATGATTGATTACATTTTTGTGTTTACCTGCTATGCCACAGTCATCTCTTCATATTAAAATTGCATCTATAATTTTTTTCGTAGTTTCATTGCAAACTTAATTTTGAAGTAACTTAGTTTTTTTTGTGTGGTTTATTTGTTTATTTATAGATAGGGTTTTTCTGCATAGTCCAGGCTGGCCTCAAACTAGAGCTCCCCTGCTTCAGCCTCCTGAGTGCTGGGATGACAGGCATGTGCCACCCTGCCTAGCTCTAAAGTAACTTAGTTTATTTTACTAAGAATATCCTTCTGTTAAACAGGTACGTTAGCTCCGTTTTTTTCCCATTATAACCAGCACTGGGTGAGCATGTCTCTGTGTGAGCACTGAAATGTGTTTGTGCATCAAGATGGTTTCTTTGGTAAAAGTTTCTAGGAGTGAACAGAGTATCATTTGGAACTCAGGAGGGACTGTATAGTGAACTACCATATAAAGTAATCCAAGCCCTTAATTTGCCTCATGGGTGAGTCCAGTTTCCCCTCATCGTTTGAGGGGTGTAAAATGGGTACCTCCCTCCCATGGGGAGTTTTGGCTCTCAGTTGAGAGCCAAAAATGAGGTTTGGGGACTGTGTTGACATTAATTCACACCTCTCTCCAGCTCCCATGCTGAGTAGCAAGATCTGCAAAAATTAGATTGGGCCCTGTCTTAGGTGGGGTTCTCTAGAAGCCAAGCCTGGGTCTGGGAGGCAGGGGGGTTACAAGTCATATGGTCACTTGTGCATGCTATGAGAGGTTACTCTCGGGAGAAACCAAGTAAGAGACTGAGGGAAGCTGAGAGGGCCAGGTCCCAGCCTGCCCCCAGGGGGACCTCTGGATGCAAAGAACCACAAAGTTTGTCCTAGCAAAAATAGGGGCTGGAGAGTCATGCCCTCTGCCTCCATTGCAGCCTCTCCTGGAGCAAGAGTCTACACTCCAGGCATCTTTGATGCATGGGCACAGGGCAGGTCTCCAGAGGAGATGTGCTTGGAGCAGCCAGGACCCACAGCAGCTGGACTCAGATGTGTCTGCTGAAATGGGGTCTGGGTAGAGTCCCAGCAGCAGCTTCTAGAGGTCCATAAGGCCTGGGACCAGAAAGCATTCCAAGGCGTACAGTGGGAGAGCACTGGGCTGGGGCTAGAAGGGGTTGGGTGACAGTGGTCCAGGGGCCTCCTACCTGATGTGCAGCTCTGCCAGGGACTGGCACGTGCTCATGGCTGTCAGCAGATAGAACACCCCAGACTCAGAGATCCCATTGTCACTGAGGCTGTGGAGAGGAGGCAGGGGCAGCTGTCAGCAGGCATTGAAAATCCCAGCCAACTCCAGCCCTCTTCATGCTCAGCGGCTTGTTAACTGTCACTCTTGGCTGTCCTGGGTGTCCACTCAGGGGCTGTCAAAGATTCTGGCTATGTGGGTGAGCCAAGAGGTACCCCGCCACCCACTCAGACAATCAAGTTCTTCAGTCTGAACCATGAGCACTGCCTCAGGGTTTCCTCCTGAGCCTCAGTTTCCTGGCCTGTAAAACCACCACTGCTTTGAGCCTGTTGTACCAGACTCCACACTAAGTGAGGGCTTTAGATATTTGGGGTCTCATGGAACCCCATTTTATAAATGGAGAAACTGAAGCCAGAAACATTCCTCTTTCCTAAGGTCACAGAACTATTACGTGACAGAGTCAAAGTCATGGCCACAAACCGCTTTTACTCAAACTCAGTACTTTCCCACCCCAGCCCAAATGCCGTAAAATCCCAACACATCCACCCGAATAGTACATCTACCCCAGCTCCCTGTGATACCATAGCATGCCTACCAGTCCATGCCATTACCCCAAAACTGTGCCCCAGCCTAACAATCACTTATACCCTGACATCTTAATCCAACACCCCACCATCATCTCCCAAAACCTCAGTACTGGCAACCCTACTCCACTGCAGGCCATTGCCAGGATGAACTGGACACAAGGTCACGAATGTGTTCTACACATGCAGAGATTAAATAGTTGAACTTCAGTGGCAGAGGCAAAGGCAAGGCAAGGCCAACCCATCTCAGTTTGCTGGAGTTGGGAGTTAGCCTAGTTGGGGATCAGCAAGATTCCTGTTGACTGTGGCATGGGGACTGGGGGTAGCAAGGACCAGCTGGGGCTCTCCAGGGCTCTCCCTGCTACCCAGGGGTGTGGTGGGCAACTCACTCCAACTTCTTGGCGATGTGCAGCCGGGGTGCAGCTTCTGCCAGGAGTCGACAGCCTTCGTCTTCCAGAAAGTTCGCTGAGAGGCTGAGAGAGAGGGGCCTGTGACTACACGGAGATGCTGGAGTCTCTCCTCAACACCCCAGACTCCTGGTTTAGTCAAAGCATCCCTCCCATGAGTGAACCTTGACACTGACTGAGGGGACAGGCCACATGCCACAAGCCTGGCAGTAGCCCAGGCACATTTCCTCCTCATAACAATCCCATAAAGCAGGCTCCATGACAATTCTCATCTTACTGATGAGTAAACAGAGCACAGAGAGATTAAGGCCTTTTCTCAAGGGTGGACCTGGATTTGAACTCAGGCAGCCTGACTTCAAGGATCCATCTGCAGCCATTCCTTTATGCTGCAGCATACATAATTGCTTCTTGTGATAAACTCTGATTATAGGAACATCTGACCCATTATGGGGACCAGGAAGTCTTCCCTGAGGCTTGAGTTACCTGGTAGAGAAACCAGGATTTCAATAAGAAAGGGGTAGGGGAGAGATGAGGGAAGAGAATTGCTGGTAGTAGGAACAACACGTACAAAGGCCCTGTGGCATAGTGCGTACAAGTACCCAAGGGGGAGGCAGTATGTCTGGACTAGAGATTGAGTGTGGACAGAAGGGGGGATTGGGAGGCTGGGGACAGGGTTCGGGACAGGGTTCGGGTTTGGGCTTTATCCTGAGCAGGAGGAAGGAGTGAGGGGTAGACAGTCCTGAGATGCAGGTCACTCTGCTAGGAAGAGGTAATCTGGAAGTGATGCAATTAGGTGAAAGGTGAAGAGGGTTCTACTAGGGAGGTAGAGGAGGATGCTGGAGAAAGGGGATGACTTTTTTTGTTGGTGGTGGTGGTATTGAGATTTGAACTTAGGGCTTCACTCTTAGTAGGCAGGCGCTCTAGTGCTTGAGACTATGCCAGCCCAAGGGAATGGCTTGGAGAGCTGTCTGTGTAGATCCCAGATGGACTGGCTATGGGGGAAGCGCGATGGAGCTGGGAGGTGTTCTATCTGTGTGACCTGTGGGGCCTGAGCCAGGCTTCACTGCAGGGAAGAAACTCTGGAGTGGGTGCAGGCTTACTGGTAGTGAGGTTGGTAGAAATAGTTGATACCTTCTAATCCTGTCCTGGCTCTTCTGATGGGACAAGGTCAAGAGTCAAGAGTTGACCACTGAGGCAGTGCTCACACCATCTGTTTCACCCTGGGGTGGGGTCACGCACACCAAGACAGTGCTCACCCTGTCTGTGTCACCATAGGGTGGGGCCACTCATCCCAAACACACCATGGCACCCATTACTCTACCTTCATGCCCACTGGAAGATTTCCTGGGACTATCCTAGCTGGCTGCCCTCCTGGTGGTGTGTCAGGACTTCTATCAATCCCGGAGCCCTACTCTCATTGGCCCCACCCAAAAGCTGGGCATGTGGGAGTTTCTCCAGCCGAAAGAGTAGGTTATCCCAGGTGTGGCAGGGGTTCTACTTGGCAGGTCTCAAGGACAGAGTTGGCAGTGGTTATGAGGATGAGGTGGGAGTGGGGCTATTCCTACCTGTGTGACCTTGAGCAAATTCACCTTGCCTTAATTCTCCTCTATAAAATGTGTAGTAATGGTGCTCACATCACTGAGTTGAGAGGGTTAAATAAGATGCATTTAAAGCCCCTCGCAGAGCATCCACCACAAGACAAGTGCTATATAATGAAAGCTGTTAGATTATCTCATGCCCACACGTTCTTTAGGAGGAAGCCTGCCCCTCCCTCACACCACCCACCCAAAGATAAGGCCCTGTCCACTCTGTCCCAACCACCCCTGGCTTCTTCCCCAGGGCTTCCTATTTCCCAAGATACTCACTCCACTTCTTCCAGGTGGGGTCCTTCCCGGAGCAGGTCTATGAGGACCTCTGCATCGTGAACCCTGAGCTGACATTTCTGGAGCCTGGGGTGGTGATGGGTGACAGAAGGACTCAGGAAAAAAAAAAACTGCAGCATGTCTCTCTAGCTCTGAAAGTGGGGGAGTCCAGAAGCTGACAGATGTGGGATCGGTACACCTCTTAGTAGCTGGGTGATCTTGGCCAAGGCACTTAAGCTGTCTGTGACTCAGTTTCCTCCTCCATCAAATGGGAATAACAGTGTGCCCTTCTAAGCTTCCAAAACATTTCCCATGAGGTAATGGCCATAGAGCATGGAGCATGGTGCCCAGCACGCAGCAAGGGACCATTCAATATCTTTGCTGCTATGACAGTGCTCCTGATTCATGACTTCATGTCATTTCCTGGTCCCACATTTACTTTTCCCTTTATCATCTCCACCCCGCTATCCCTCCCTTGGGAAGGGATCTCTCCTCCATATTGGCAATAGATCTCCTTGAGGTACCTGAGCGCCAGGCTTCGGCCCGCTGTCCTCAGGCTTTCATTTTCCTGTAGGTCTGGAGCTCTGGCAAGAATAAACCACACATTGACCTGGTCTCGGGAGCCAGGACGTGACCTGCCTGCCTCTTCCCTTGAGGAAGACTCTGCAACACTTCTCCCATACTGAGTGCCTCACAAAGACAGTTCACTTGTGCTAAAGGTACAATCCAGCTAAGCTGGAGGAGCAAAAAGTGTGAAATCAAAGGAAACCTTTATTCAAATTCTGCCTCTACCCTATCTATGTAGCTGTACGATCTTGGGCAAGCCAGTTCACTCCTTCCCTAAGATAGGGTGACAATCTCTAACTCACAGACTTCCTGAAGGACCGATGAGCAACTGTGCTCAACTGCTCAGGAGAGGCCCACAGAGAAGCTCAGTAAGCAGCCCTGTCTAAGCTATGGTGGTCTCCATTGTAGATGTGACCTGGTTCAGAGGCAGGAAGCAAGAGCTGCGCACAGGGGGCCCAGGCACTGGGAACCACAGCGCTTTCAGACTCTCTCCCACTGGGCCAGGGGAGGGCTGGGGCTGCAAGGAGTGTCTCTGGCCTGGTTCACATATGAACCAGATTTCATGGACTACTAGATTGGTCCAGTCAAACAGAACTTTCTAGATGATGGAAGGATTCTGCTGCTGTGCCATCCACTATGGGTCACTGAGTACTTGCAAGTGTGGTGCATATGACTGAGGAACTGAAATTTTCATCTTACTTAATTTAAATTTAAATGACCACAGTAGCTCGTGGCTGTCATACGGGGCTATCATAGCTCTGGATGGTCAGAGGAGAAAGTGACATTGGTCCTGCTGGATCATTGCACAGGTGAAGAGGGTGAGGCTAGGGGCAGGGGAAGAGTTTGCTCCAGGCCATACAGTGTCATCTGTCTGCGTCTCAGCCAGGGAGCAGGTGGGGAGCGTGGTAGGAATGCTTCCTACTTTGGGAATGCTTCTTTGGGGGAAAGTGACTTCCATTTCTTCACCCACAGCCAGCATGTGAGTGCTGCCCGATACAGTGGAGAACATTAAAACCCTTTGCCAACCCCAAGCAAGGATTCATTCCTCAGTGCATCAGGAAGCATCTCCATGCTCCAGCTCTTCCTGGGCTCTCTCAGCCAGCCTTCCCCTCACCTGCCTGAGCCCAGGTCACTTCTCAGGATGGGCTCAGACCCACTCCTCCCTGGCTTCTTACCTCCATAGCACTGCAGTCGTCTCTGTGGACGGGGAAAAAAGGAAGATGAAGTCCTCCTCCCTAAAGGGTCAGATGTGGAGCCATGAAAACCATGGACTAGAAGCCAACACACTACTCCCAGCTGCACACCCTTCCTGCCCCACACATCCAGGGAAAGCTGATTTTGTAACTGACAAAGAAACAAGAGAGCAGGCAAAAGTGCTCCAACTGTAAAGCCCTGCATCATTGCTTGTTTGAATCCTGCAAGAGCATTTTGTAAAGTCAGGAAAACAATTTCTTACTATAAGTATACTAAAAATTAGGAATGCAGAGAATTTTCTAAATTAGATTTATAATTGTTTTAGGATTAAGGAGCTTGATGTCTAACCTCCCTGTGATCCTAATGGGCAACACTGGTTCAGCACTGCGGACAGCACCACGAAGCGTGGCAGTCAGCTAATTATTCCTTTGCATGCTTGCGCTTCATAGATCTGTTGATTCTTCCATCCATCATCCATCCATCCATCCATTTGTCCATGAATGCATGCACGCATCTATTCATCCATCCATTTTTCCTTGTGTACATGCATGAATGCATCTGTCTATGCATCCATCCATCCGTTTAACCGTATTTTCTTCCATGCAAGCATGTTTCCATTCATCTTTCCTATGCATGAATGTATCTACCCATCATCCATCCATCTTTTCTTGTACGCATGCACGCGTCCATCCATCCACTATTTATTAAGTACCAGGTGCCAAACCTGAGCGAGGTCTAGAGCTACAGTTTTGAATAAAACAGACTCAGCTATGCATATGTAGAACTCACAGATTAGGCGTCTCCTTCTTTCCCATCCTCCACTTTCCCATCCTTTTACCTAAAGACTTTGAAGGCCAGGATCCCATTCCTTCTGCTCACCTGACCTCCAGTGCCCTGACAGTAGGGCAAGTGACTGCCACCTTCACCAAGCAGAGTAGGGTTGATATGGAGAAGTTGTTTCTGCTCAGGCTGCATGATCGGGCAAAGGTATCAGGAATGTATTCCTCTCCCATGGTGGAGAAATCCCATGGAGGAGGGACTAAGGCTGGGAGGAGAGTGGAACAGACACTTACTCAAGCTTGCGAAGCCGCGGCAGGCAAGGGAGTACATTTATGATGCTCATCACCTCTGGCTCCTTGAGCTGGTTGTCCTGCAAACTGCAGGGAGACCAAAACACAGTCCCTCATCCTGACGTTGGGGCACTCAGAAGCCCCAGCTAGCAGGTGACAGTCAATGTTCACATTCATATGAGAGACACAAGGCAGGGGCCCAGAAAGGTCACTTGATCCCTGGAACCCAGCAGGCACAGCTAGGAAGAAAAGTCCTGGCCTCTCTGTTCCTCCCCTGCTGGAGAGTTTCTGCCTGGCAGCCCTAGGGATCTAGATGACAGATCGTCAAAGTCTCACAAAGTGAAGTGAAGAGATGCCATGCCTGCTCTCAGGGCTTATGTCTACAATGTGCCTGAGGCCCAAGTTCATCAGAGTCTCTTGGCCCTTGGATGGAGGAGTGAAGTCTAGTCAGGGACAGCTCTGGCCCTGACTCCCCCAGAGCCCCAGGCATTCTTCTCTAACAACATTCTCCAACCCACTAAGTGGGCTCATACCCCAACCCTGCCTGGGTGCCTAGATGGAGGGATAGATGGGCTGGGTGGTACAAGACTGATTGACTGCAGTAGTGGGTGATGAGAGAAAAGATTTAAGTTCACTCTCAGAAATCAGGAAAGAAAAACAAGTGTCAGCAAGATCAACATTGCAAATCTTTGTTCTGACTGATCACTATACAAAGGCACCAAGCTGAGGGAACAAGGACTATGGTCCACCTCATGTACTACTCAGTAAACGTGGCACTGCAGTGCCAGGATGCACCTATCTGGATGAAGGGGTGGATTTCTCATGAAGGTATCATAGAAGCTAGCAGTGGTCCTGCCAGTGGGTTGCCAGAGGGTCCCTGGCCCCACTCTTGAATCCTACAAGATTCAAGACATAGAGAACAGGTGCTCAGTAAGTGTGCACTTGCATGTAAGTGTGTGTGTGCTGCACATATGCTCAGCTGTGAATAGGAATGTGGGGTACGTGCTTGAGTAGGTGAACATGCACTTCTGTGCAGGTGTACACACGTGTGCAGGAATGTAAAGGTGTGTGTTTCTTGCATTTATGTGTACCCTCAGTGCCTGCCTCCTGCCCACACACTGCCATCCATTTTCTTAAGAGTCACTGAAGGAGAAAAGGAGCCTCAAAACTCATGCTCCTTCAAGATGGCACAAAACATTAAATGAGAGAAGCCCTGCTCTGGCATCTTTGGGAAGCTTGCGTTTGAATTCAGCTTGCCTTCTTTTTGGACCGATGCCTCCTTCTCTGCATCTCATTAAAAAACAACCGGTCAGACCCTCATGGAAGATGCAGACCCAGACTGGGCCACAAGGGTGTCCTGGGAAGTGGGCAGTGAACTTGTTTCCCCAGCCAGTGGGTCCTTCTGGCGTCCACTCACCTGACCTCTTCCAGCTGTGTACAGAGGGGCAAAGCCTGCACAAGGTGACCGATGCCTCGGGCTGTGATCTTACTTCCTGCTAACCTACAGGGCAAACAAAGATGGTGGGGAGGAAAGGGGATGGCAAAGCCAGGAATCTGTCCTTTGTATGGCAGGAACAGGAAGGAACATGCCAGACATCCTCAGCTCAAGCTCTTTCTTGAGCTAAGAAATCCTTGCAATCCCTGGCTCACCCCAACTTCTGCAGACTCCCCATGGTCGGCAAACTCCTGGACAGGGTTTCTGCAAAGGCATCCCCACACTTCCTGCTCTTAAAGCTGCATGGGGAGAGATAAGATGGCTGAGGATCAGTGCTGGATTGGGCTCAGAGCTCATCAGCACTCTCTCCTGACATACGGGGCTCAATATAGTAGAAGTAGTTGTTAGAGTAACAAGTACAGATTACACCACAGACTCTCTCATCCATAGAACCCATTCTCCACTGCATCCACAGAAACGGACCTATAGCTGGGAACATGGCTTCCCAACTGAAGTGACATTTCCAGTCTGTCTTGCAGCCCAGAGTGGCCAGGTGGCTGTTCTCACCAATACCATGAGTCCTAGTTCCAGGACTGCCCTTCATCACATTGGGCTTGTCTTCTCCATGCTCCTCCAAGACAAAGCACACAATGCCCATGACCCAGCGTTGACAATGCCGAGCATCATGGTAGGGACCTGACCATGACCATGAAGAGCTGCCCCACCAACCCGCACCATTTACCTCTGACTCTTCCATGAGACAGAAATAAAATTCTACTGGATTTTATCCCCTGTATTTAGGGAGCTTTTCTTTGTGAGTTCAGCCCTGCCTGATACAAACACAGAGCCTTTGCTCTGTGCCAGGTGCTGTGCTGGGAAGTGCCTGCCATGCATTCTCCCATCTCGTGCTCACAAGTTAGGTGTTATTAAGCACTCATTTTAGGAATAAAGAAACTCCAGCTGAGAGAGATTACATAAGCTGCCCAAAGTCAAGGAGACTCTAGCAGCACAGCCTGGACTAGAGACTGCAGCCCATGATTAACAGAAACTAAGTGTTCAGAAGCCATGGGTACAGGAGGATGCTACCTGGCTCTGGAGGGCCTATTAAGGCACAGAGTTGTCCCATGTGTGTCACAGGCTAAGGGGCGGTTGGGGCAATTCTATTTTGATGTTCAATATTTGAATACAGTCTCTCTAGCAGGGTCCCCCAGCCTGGTTGTCTTCAAAACCCAATTCCTTCCTAGGACCTTGCCAGTCCTCCTCTGCTCTTACCTGAGAGTCTCTACCTGTCCACAGCCTACCAGAGCCTCAGGGCAATGAGGCTCCAGTGGGCAGCCCTCAAATTCCAGGTGCATAGGGTTAGCCCTGTACTCCAGGATGTTGGTCAGAGCAGCCAGGTCTGCGAAGGTCAGAGGGAAATTGTGGAAGGGAAGATGGTAGGGGAGGCTTTGGGCAGTGAGACTGGCCAGCTCAGCCTCCTGGGTCTCAGCCACATAGTGACACAGCTCCACCACCTTTGGCCCAGTGTGCTTGCGGGTGGCCAACTTCTTTAACACTTGCACAACAGTGGCCTGCCTCACGCTCACCCAGGCGTCATCTCCTTCGGCCAAGTGACTGAGGAATGGACGGCAGGTGTGGGATGCCAGGCCTGCCAGGAAGGTGGGGAGTTGGTCCGAGAGGCCCAGTCTAGCTTTGGTCCTCAGCACCCAATGGGAATTGAGGGTGACATGGCGGGCGAGTGTGTCTTTGTCCACTGTGGAGCTGGCCATCAGGTACAGAGCAGCGAAAAACTCCTGCAGACTGAGGTGGGCAAAGGCGTAGCCTGTCTCTGGGTACCTGGGGCTTGTGCAGACACAGAAGGAGGTCAGCAGATTATGAGCAGCCCCAAAGGCCATCATGGCCGGAGGGATGTCTTCTGCATAGAAGATAACCTTCCCGGTGTCCAGGCCTCTCAGAGCCACTTCTCCGAGGCCCAGCAGGGATGTGGCAGGCAGACTCCCAGGGAGGCTGAGAGAAAACACCATCTGCATGTACAGCTGGGTCACAGTGGGCAGGAGGGCTGCAGACTGGCCTGGGGGACTTCCGGGGAGCAGGTGGTAGAGGCAGAGGCAGGTGACTTGGCACAGTCCAGGCACAGTGCACATGCTTCGGAGAGGCCCATTTGTTCGCAACTCTTCGAGGGCCATTTCTGGTGAAGGCTGCTCATGGAAGAAGTGGCTCATGTACTCCTCCACCCGCAGCCCATCAAAGCCCCAAATGTGGACCATGGCTGCCTCCCTGGGCAGGCAGGCAGGCAGCTTCCCTGGACGGGAGGTAGCCATCACCCAGCAGCCGGGCAGGAGGGTCCCACAGCAGAGGCTGGAGAAGAGGGTGAGGACAGAACCTGAGCCATCAGGACCCAGGGTCTCCTTGCTAGAGCAAGACTGGATGGCCTCGTCCAGCCCATCAAAGATCAGCAAGACTCGACTGGCGTTTTCCTCTAGGTACTGGAAGACAGCATCGGGGCCCGACTCAGGGCTCAGATACCCATCAAAGAGGAGTTGGGGCAACGTCAGAAAACGTGTGATCAGGTTGAGCTGGCGAAATTCAAAAAGGAACAGGGCCTGGAAGTGGTCCAGCTGACCATCAGCCCACTTCTGGCAGAGCCGCCGGGCCAGTGTGGTCTTGCCCATGCCAGCCTTCCCCAGGAGCACAGTCACTCGTGGGCCCTTGTGAGCCCTGAAGTTGAAGAGGTCCTGGACACGCACGTCACTGACATCTTCTGCCTTGGGGTCCCCGATAGAGGCTCCCTGTTGAGTGTCCAGAGGAGCTGTGGCCCGACTCCACTGCAGGATGGGGGGGACGTAGACGTGGTGGGAGGCAAGGGTCTTCTCTGGCAAGGAGCATTTGGTGCCACAGTGCTGCTGGGCAGTGGTTTTCAGGAGTTGCAAGTACTTCCTGGCCAACTCTACAGGAGGCAGAGAGATGATGTGAAGGCAGGAGCCTCTGCCCTCAATCCATGCCCCCTGACTCTAAGATTGGACTGTTGGCAGCTTCTAGCTCCAGCTGTGTGTTATGGGGACAGAGTGGCAAGGGCATAATAAGGGTTCTAAGGCCATTCAAGTCCCAGAAGGGATCGGTTCCACAGTAGCATGGGCTCTGGCAGCCACTCACTCGGGGGGTGGGGGGACTGGTGATCAGGGCTCTCTGTATTCAGCAGCAGAGCAAGTGACATGAGGTTTTCACTAAGCTGGGGGAGGGGACTTGCTTTGCAAGATCTCATGGCCACAACCTCTCCTGGTGTATCTGAGTCCCTCCCCAGGGTTTGTTTCAGTTCTGTGATGTCCAGGAGTGAGCTCTAAAAGCCCATGCGCCTCGAGTACAATCAGACTGTGAGACCCCCTGGCACCAGGTGTTAACCTGTATCTTCCTGGGTCACTGGAGGTCTCAGGTGGCCCAGAGAAGGACTGGGACCACTGTGGGAGGAGACAGCATCTGTTTTGTACAGAAGTGGACTCTCCAGCTGTGCCAGTGGTTGGCAGTGTGTATGGCTTGGGGATCAAGAACAAGGATTGCTCTGGACAAGTGGTGGACAGTGACAGAGGTTCCCTCTTCTCTCCTCTGCATGGCCTGGCCTCTACAACTCTGTCTCCCCATGGGCCCCCAGGATCTCTGCCCTGAGGACTTCTCCCAGGCATCTACATCATCACTCATCCCTGCTCACCCCCAAACTGACTACTGAGGGCCCAGGCCTGAGGTCAAGCTGGTCACCTCCCTGGGGTGTCCCTGAAAGAGCTTGGATAACAAGGCTGTGACCCACTGGATACTTTCAGCCCTTCCCTGCCAGTCCCAGCCCTCTCCTCTGCCCACCAAGACCTCCAATCCTTCTCTATTGGAAGCCTGAAAGATAGTCATTGGGCCCTGGGGGCTGCCAGCCAGGGATAGGGTCCAGAATCTGTGGCTGGGCCTCAGGGCAGCCCAGTCCTTCTGTTGGGGCCCCTCCCCAGCCAGCACCCACCTAGCTGTTGCTTCCGGCCATGCTTCCGATGGGGTGAAGACCCACAGCTCTGATGAGGGCGCTTGAGGCCTGCAAAGAGTGAAGGAAGGGGTGGAGGGGCAATGGGGCCTGGACAGCACCTTTGGGCTGCGTCATTCCACAAACAGGCACAGGCAGACAAGCGCATCACATTCAGGGACCTGGAGAAAACGGGTGGTGGGCCAAGGCTGCATCCATACCAGCTCCTACTTGCAGAGGGGCCCCAGCATTGGGGACAGGGCTGGAGGCTCTAGTCCCACCCAGGATGAGGAGAGCAAGCCCATAGCTGGGAGCCCCAGAAATTCTCAGACACAGCTGTCTCTCCACCAGGCTCCATGGAGAGTTGGTTGTGCTTGGGCTTGGCCAGGTCTGTGACCTGCTCCTGTGTCAACTATGCAGCACCCTCATTTCTCATTACCCGCATTTCCTCACTTTTCTGAATGATGTCACGAGGTCTCATCTGGTTACATGGAATTTCAGTCTTTTTAATGTCTTTTTGGAAGAGTGTGAGAAAGGAAGCAGGAGAACAGGAAGGAAGGGGAGAGAGAAATGGGGGAAGAAGAAAGGCAGGAAGACTGGGGAGAGAATTTTAAGAGAGTAACATCCTCTAAGGCCAACAACAGCGACCAATCAGAACAGCCACTCGTGTAGGGCTGTAGGTGTTCAATTGCAGGAAGAGTGGGTATCCTGAAGAGGAGCTGGAACCAGTATGAGAATATTTCAGTATTTTAATAACTCCTATTCGCCAGGGACTCACTGGCTGAATATCGTCAGACCTGGTCACAGCCACGGGACAATTGCACCAGTTCAGTGATAAGGAAATGGATGAGGGACCTGGACACAGTTTAGCTTAGATTATAAGGTAGGTGTTTCCTGTTACCAATCACCCTGGGGTGTAATTGCCATGCCAACTGTAATAAAACAGTGGTGTTGATATAGGAAGAAAGGCTCTGAGACCCATGAATCGCGAGGCGGCCACATTTGGTTGCAGACTACTCCAAACTCTGTCAGTGATTTGATCAGAGGCTCCCTGGGTGTGGAGAGCAGTCATGGGTGTCAGACTGAGGGATCCTGGGAGGGATGGAGGAGCCTGATTCAAGCATGGAGAGACGGGCCCTCAGGCTGGGGGAAAGGATGTGGGAGCAGGCTTTCCCAGTGACAATGATGCCAAACAGGGGACCTGGAGGTGGCTGAGGGCTGACACCTGCAGACTCTCCTGGCAACACCTAGTTAGACCCCCAGGAACAGGAAGTCTTGAAAGAAACAGGCAGGCTTTGAAAGCTGTAGCTCTGGAGGGGGGTGGGTTAGGGGACGGGGCATGGCCCATGTGATGAGGAAAGATGGCTGTCACCAGCAACCACCAGCCTCCTCCAGACTTAAGTAGGGACTCAGCAGCACTCACCAGCACCCTCACCTGCCCCCAACCCCAGGTCTCACCACAGTGGAGCTGAGGTCCAGGCTGACCCTCGTTGCCAGCTCGCAGCTGTCCAGGGAATTCTGCAAGAGGCAGAAGAGAATGCACCACACGTGTGGATGGTGGATACCAGGCAGCTCAGCCTGGTGCCTGCTCAGGGCTCAGGCTGCAGTGTGGGCAAGGGGCAAGGAAGGAATAAACTTAACACTCGGTTACTTTCCCAGTGGGAAAGCTGGTGTTGAGCTCAGAAGGTGGTGGTGGATGCATCTGTGCATGGGTGCACACGTGTGTGTCTATGCATACAAACACATGCGTGTACTGTGTGCATCTGCATGTGTGTACATATGTGGACACGCCCCTCTTGGCATTTCCTACACTCCAACAGTGGTAGGGCTCTTGGAAGAGTCCTGCTTCCTATCTAATTCCTCTATTGTCCCTAAATGTCTTGTTCTTCCCCTTGGTGCTGTGCAGAGTGCCCACGCAATGCCCACTGACCTGAGCAGAGTTAAACCTGCCTGCCTGTTTGTAGAGGACAGAGGGCTCTCTCTGTCACCGCTCTGATCCTGCCACAAAAAGAAACCTTCTGGAGTTGGGAGTGGTGACTCATAGCTTTAATCCCAGCTACCTGGGAGGAGGAGATCAAGAGGATCGTGGTTCAAGGCCATGATGGGGCGGGGACGGAGGGATGTTAGTTAACTAACAAGCTGGGTGTGGTGGTTCACATTTGTAATCCCAGCTAGGAGGATCATGGTCTAAGCCTGGCACAGGCAAAAAGAGTGAGACTCCATCCAAAGAGTAACTAAAAGGGCTGGAGCATGGCTCAAGTGGGCGAGCTGCTGTCTAGCAAGCCTGAGGTCCTGAGTTCAAATCCTAGTACCTCAAATAAAAAAAGGAAAAAATGCAGCAGCAGCTTTGTGGGCATTATGGGCCACTGGAACTTCTGGTTGGAAGGAGTCACTTGGCCTTTCCTCTCTTGCCTTTTGGCTCGGTGAGCAACTGGACAGGGGCCAAATGGCAGCAGGGCTCTCCAAGGCCAAGGTGATTTTGTGGTATTGGAGAATTTGTTTTGAGGAGTGCCTGAACTGTGTGATTTTCTTCCTGACCTGCGCTGCCCTGTCTGTGTGACTTGGTGGGTCCCGGGTGCTTCCACACTGGTCCTTACCATCTTCCTGGCCCCAGGTGCTCAGCAGTGGTACCTCCACTGCCAGTGGCACCTCCAGCTCCATGCACACACAGTGGATCAGCGACTGCCAGGTGGCCAGCCCTTGGGCGTGCAGTGTGCTGAGCTGCTGGATGACCCTCTGCTCAGGATCAGAGGCCTCGTCGCTGGAGCCCAGGTCCACAGTAGGCAGGAAGAACCTCATCTTGGCACTCAGCCATTCTGAGTTCCTGCTGAGCAGCCTCACCAGCCAGCTCCACAGGTTCCTGGTGCCCAGCTCCAGGCTAACGGGGTCCATGGGGAGCCGGCCCTGTGAGGGGGAAGGGGCAGGTGAGCTGAGGGCAAGGTTAGGTGAAGGGCAAGCCAGCTGAGGGGACAGTCAGGAACCATCCCCCAACCTGCGCAATAAGTGGCCTCTGGGTCAGTTCCAGAGACTTCTCTGCTTCTCATCTCTTCCCCATCTATAGCATACCCCAGCTTTCAGGAAGTGTCAAGTTCATTACTATAGATGATCCCCTGAAGACTCCTTATTTGCATGGACTGTTTGTGGTGCTCTCAGTCTGGGTTGACTTCATGGTAGAGACCTAGTCATCCCCCAAATTTGTTCTTTCTTAGTACTAGGACTCCTGAATAATCCCTGGTCATCTGGCATAGACTTGACATCCCAACCTCTCTTACAGGCAGAGGTAGCTATATATCATTAAATGGAATTGCGTTCGATCTTTTTTTTTGGCTTCTTCCTATTAGCTGGAATGTGATGGCTAGACCTTGGGCAGCCATGTTGGATCATGAGGTAGAAGCCAGTGCAGAGGAAGGTTTGGGGAAAGCTGCCCACCTTCCCTGGCCTCTCTGACTTTCAACCTTTACTATATGACAGTCAAATACACTTCTATTCTGTTTGAACCATTGTAGCTTAAGGATTTCTGCCACTTGAGTGAACTCTAATCTTAGTTAATATGAACCATCTCTTCCCTCTGCAAACTAATTCTCTTCTAAAGTGGAACTTGCGAACAGTTCGCCAGTCGGAGTATCGACAGAGGGCAAAGGGCATTTGCACAGCAAAAGCCCACATGATGTGCAGTCTCTTTGATCCTGCAATTCCATTTTCACTCTCTGGCCTTAGGAAGCAGTCATAGGCCAGCTGGTCACTAATTCCCAGTGGTGGGCTCTGGGGCTGACCACAGAGACCGTCATCCTCTCTCTGGGCCTTTGACTGCATCACCCACCCCAACCCTTTGAAATTGGGTGCGGCCATGAAACTATACTAAATATACTAAAAGTGACACACGTCACATCTGTGCAGATGTTTTAACAGCCAATGTGTGATTCACTGTGCTCTTCCTTGTCCTCTGCTCCAGGGACCAGCAGTATTCCAAATCATAGCTACTCCTTTAGCCTGGGTCTGGAAGCTAGGGCGATGTGGACTAGAGCTCCCAGTCCATTCACCATGGCAAAGAAGCAAGAGCAGGAAATGGACTTGGGAGGATGTTTGTTACTGCAGCAGAACCTAACTGATACATTCATCGTATGAGCTTAAGCCAGTTTTTCTCTATCTGGGCCTCAGTCACATTGGGTAGGTGAAATGCTCAAGGCTCCTCCTGATACTCTGTGATTCAATGATTTTCAATGATATTCAATGATTCTCATTCTCATACTGAATAGAGGCCAAGGACAGTTGACTTGTTGTGTCAGAGCAGCCCAAATGAGACAGATAGAGGGACCCGAGCCTACCTAAGGGTATTTGACTAGGAGTTAAACACTCTTAAATACTGCAAAGGATGTTAATGATAAGTCTTTCTTATAAGCACTCTATTATTAAAATAAAGTAAACCTTTCCTTTCAAATAAGCTAAGCCGTTGGGGGCTGGGCTTATTTGACTTGAGAAAACTATCCTCCAGCTAATGAATCCCTAACTCCTGCTCCAAGGGCCCTGCTCCAGCAATGACTGCTTCAGACAGTTTGCTCCAGCCTCAGCCATTATAACCTATAGACCTCCCTGCTCACAGTGCAGCTATTCTCACTGAGAGGGCTGGAGCACTTCTGGCCACTCAACAGAAAGCTTGTGCTTGGTGCAGTGTAAGGCCTGGATTGGTCCTCATGTAAAGGCGTGTGATTATTCCTTACGTAAGGTTTGCAACTGGTGGAAATGGAAGCTATGGTGTGATTAGTGTAAATTACAACCCTACATTTGCAGACTCCCTGCTTCCTGGCTACAAAACCAGGCTCACTTTTTGAGCCAGCCAGGAGATACCATCCTCTGCTGCCCCCTGGTGTGGCAACATTAGGTCCAAGAAAAGGCTTCTCTCAGCTGGGCATGATGGGGCACACTCGTAATCCCAGCACTTGGGAGGCAGCAGCAGGACGATTGTGAGTTCAAGCCCAACCTGAGCTACATAGTGAGACTGTCTCAAAAAAAAGAAAGAAGGAAGGAAGTTAGGAAGAAGGAAAGAAAGAAAGAGAGAAAGAAAAGAAAGCAAGCTTCTCCTAAGTGGTCTTTTCTTGCTTACTTGTCTTTGTCATGGGCGCAGTGGACTGAGCATGTAACACAGAGAGGAGCTGGTGGCAGTGGCAGCAGAGTGGCAGGAAGGCCATGGTGGTCGTACTGGCAGCAGCAATAGCAGCAGGAAGGTGGCTGAAAAGTTCCAGAGAGCGACCAGGCAAAGAAGGCAAGAAACAAAGGCAGCTTTGATGCTGAACAGCAGAAGGCTGTGAGGAGCTGAAGGTGAGCTCTCCTGGTCTTGTTCTCCAGGCTACATCCCAAGGTTGACCACTGCTGCCCCCAGCTGCTGCTAAGAGCTGAGGGTAACACTACCTGCTGAGTGCCCAGCTATGGGTGACCAAGGCCCAGGGTCCAGGCAATAAACCTCTAAGCAGAGCACCTTGAGCTGCAAGTCTCTGGTGACTCGCTTAGTGCCACCAGCCTCCAGCGTTCATGGCTGTAGCTGTAGCTGAGTCTGTCGTTCAGCTCACAGAGCATTGGCACTCAGGATCCAGGTCTGCCAATGTAGTAGAGCTTCTCATGCCTTCTCGTGATTTCCATGGAGTAGAGCTGGAGGACCCAGACAGCTGCTTGGTGGCAGTGGGGTGGAGCTGGGTGGGGAGTGGTCTTGGCAGTAGGAGGGGGGTGAAGGAGTGGACAGGCCAGAACAGAAAGGGAGGGGCAGGAGAGGTCAACCCGCCTACCTGGCTTCTTGATTCATAATAGATGTTGCAGAGTCCCCACGGAGAGGGTCTCCTGGGTGTCTGGGCACTGTCCTCTGCTCTGCACTTTGCAGGCTGTTTCCATAGTACAGGCCCTAAGGACAGAGGAGATCACCCCACTCTTCAAAACCCTAAAAGAAACCATGGCGTGAAGAGGACATTGGACCCACGAAGGACCCTCACCTTCATGTGAGATCAAGTTCTTAACCTCCCTGATATCACTTCCTGCCCTACCTGAACAGGAGATGCCATTCTGCCTCCTCTCACTTACAGCCTGGGGTGTCACACTGTGGCTCGAAAATCCTGCCAACTGATCTTGGCCACGGAAATGAAATAATCATAACTGTAGGTGCCCCTCTCCCCCGTATAAACTCCACAAAAGGTTACGATCTGCATTCTTTTTTCTTATTGCATTGCACAGTATTTTTTAAACAATAGATTAAACATTCTTGTTAAAGGGAAAACAGCCCCATCCATCCCTGCATTACAAAGTGTGGCACCCATTCCTTTCCAGTGCAGTGTTAGAGACCTGGCCTAGGGAAGCAGGTGGCTAAAAAGTACATGGAAGCTGGGTGCCAGTGGTGGCTCACACTGTAATCCTAGCTACTTGGGAGGCCGAGATTGGGAGGATCACAGTTTGTAGCCAGCCCAGTTCAAGAGATTCCATCTCCAAAGTAACCAGAGCAAAATGAATTGGAGGCATGGCTCAAATGGTAGAGTGCCTGTTTTGCAAAGGCAAAATCCTGAGTTCAAACCCCAGTCTCACCAAAAAAAAATCAATAAATTCAAAATGTACATGGAAGAAAGAAAGAGAGCTGGGCGGCGTGGCTCAAGTGCTGAAGCACCTGCCTAGCAAGTGCAAAGCCCTGAGTTTGAATCCCAGTACTGCCAAAAGAAAATAAAGGAGAAGCCAAAGATCAATAAGGGCTCTCTGTTCATTCTGTGGAATGTGAGGAATGCAACTAGAAAGTTCCAGAACTTTAGAGAAGTCCATATAAATAGGGTGCACTCGAACACGGCTGACGTGAGCACTGTATTTAGAAATAAGAAAGAAGAGGTCTTGTTCAAGAGTCTTGGGGTACTCCTGATATTTTTTAAACCACTGCTGTTGAATCCTAACAGGAGTGAGACAAGTGCATGGGGGTAGATACGACCTTGCTGTGGATTCAAGCTTGTGTCCTACCCTGAGGCCCATGGCGCCGGCCCCCAGTGTGATGGCACCTAGCGATGGGGCCTTTGGGAAGGTCAAGAGGGGCGAGCGCCCTTTTAAAGAAGAGACGGGGTTGGGGCGGGGGGGGGGGGCTCGCTCTCTCTCCGCTGCAGAGGGAACTGAGCCCTCGCCAGCCCCCGTATGTGCTGGTCCCCTGATCTGGGCCCCCGTATGTGCTGGTCCCCTGATCTGGGCCCCCGTATGTGCTGGTCCCCTGATCTGGGGCTTCCTAGCTCCAGAACGCTAAGCAGTATGTCTGTCATTGAAGCCACCCGGACGATGGTAGTCTGCCGCAGCGATCCAAAATGACTACGACAAACCTGCCTGTGACCAAGAAGAGGGAAAAAATCTCAAAGTTAGTGTGGAAAGAGAAGGCAATGCCACTTAAGTTACCATAGAACACTTCTGAGAACTCAGTAAAATTATTTTAACGGCCGGACGCCAATGGCTCGCAGCTGATCCCACCTACTCAGGAGGCAGAGAGCAAGAGGATCGCAATTCAAAGCTACCCTGGACAAATAGTCCTCGAGATCCTAGCTCAAAAAGTCCTTCACAAAAATGGCTGGTGGAGTGGCTCAAGGTGTAGGCCCTGAGCTCAAACCCAGTACAGTACAGCCAAAAAAAAAAAAAAAAGAAAAAAAAATTGTCATTGGGAGAAAGAAAAAGAAGACTGGCCCATATTCCATCATGAACCATTTTAAGTTACAAATGGTAAAGGAAAAAACTAGGGGCTGTGGGTGTAGCTTGGTGGCAGTGTTTGTTTAGCATGGATGAGGGCCTGGATTCATTTCCCAGCAACACACACACACACACACACACACACACACTCTGAAGGCAATTATACAATTATATTAAAAGGCTCTTTATTGGGAAGAGCAGGAAGGCAATATTAGGAAGGCTTCCAAACATAATAAAGTGTATTATAAATGATCATAATTAAAACTTTTTAGGCATGGTGGTTCATGCCTGTAATCCCAGCACTTGGGAGGCTGAGGCAAGAGGACCTCCAGTTAGAGGCCAGCCTGGGCTGCACAGCAAGACCCTGTCTCAAAAGAGCAAAACAAGAGAAAAAAAGCAAAAAACAAAACTGACTGAATGTGCAGCTCAGGTGGTAGAGTGCCTGCCCAGCAAGCATGGGGCCCTGAGTTCAAACCTCAGCACCACAAAGAGAATAATTAATAGTAATAATAGGTACTTGGATCCTTTAAGGTACTTGGATTAAAAGTAGAAAAACTTGACCAAAGGAATAGAGTCCAAAGGCACTTCACATTCCCTATGTATCAATGGTATTGAGAGAAAAATGGAAACAGTTATTACTTAAAGGTTTCTGGTAACATGAGTGTTCCAATTTAAAGAATTATGTTTGTTTATTTATTTGTTATTTACTTATTTATTTAGGCATTACTGGGGTCTGAACCCTGGGCCTTGCACTTGGTAGGCAAGTGCTTTTTTACTTGAGCCAAACTCCCTGTCCTTTTTTGCTGTATTTTTTTTTTTAGATAGGATCTGGCTGGTCTTGGACTTTGGTTCTCCTACTTCTGCCTCCCTGGTAGCTGGGATTATAGCCATGAACCACCACACCCAGCCTTAAAGAATTATTTTCAATTAAGTCAAATTAAATTTTTTTGGGTTGAAATTAAAAACACAACCACATAGTGTTTTGCACCCACATTGGATGGCTATAATGAGAAAAAATGGACAAGTTTTGATGAGGATTTGGAGAAACTGGAACCAGTCACTTTAAGAACTGGCTTGGTGGTTCCTTGAAATGTTAAACCTAAAACAATTCCACCCCTAGGTCTATGCCCAAGAGATATGACAATATCACCCCCTGAAAACCTGTTCACGAATGCTCAGGCCAGTAATATCCATCATAGCAAAAAGTGACATCAAGCTGGGCGCCGGTGGCTCACACCTGTAATCCCAGCTACTCAGGAGGCAGAAATCAGGAGGATCACGATTCAAAGTCAGCTTGGGCAAATAGTTTGTAAGACTCTATCTCAAAAATTTCCATCACAGAAAAGGGCTGGTGGAGTGGACCAAGCAGTAAGAGCGCCTGCCTCGTAAATGTGACGTCCTGAGTTCAAACTTGAGTGTGGCAAAACCAAAACAAAACAAAATAAACAAACCTGAAATCAAATCAAATATCCAACAACTCATGGATAGATAAACAAAACAGGTGTGTCTATAAATGAGATGTTATTCAAAGATAAAAAGAACAAAGTTTATCTGTCATGAAAAGACAGACATTAAAGATCACATGTTTATGATTCTATTTCTGTGAAATGTCCAGAAAAGGCAACTTCACAGAGACAGGAAGTAGACTGGTGGTTGCCTGTGCCTGGGGTAGGGTTTGAAATGACTCTAAACGGCCCGGACGAACACGTCCTAGAACTGGATTCTGGTGGTGGCTGCAGAGCTCAGGAAATTTACTACAAATCATTGAATCGTGCACTTGAAATGGGTGGATTTTACAATATAAAAGCTATGCCTCAATAAAGTGCTAAAAACAATGCAGTATAAGTTAACAAGTTCTAATAAAATGTTATCATCCACTAAAACTTTTCTGTGTAGAAAAAAATGGTGAGGAACAAAATGAAATCAACAAACGTGGAAAGGTGTTCGTGCCACATCCTGTCTCAATATGACAACAGGCTGATTTTCCTGATTATAGAACAATGACTGTAGCAAATTAGTCAACAAGTAAGACCAACAACTTCATGGAACAGATGACAAAGGCATGGGAACAGGTGCAAATGTATTTTACATTTATGTTTAAAATTGCTCCAAGTAAAAGATGTCTAAATTGCCATTACAATCTTCCCGCAGTCATACAGACAAAGACCCAAAGGGTTCACGATACTCCTGATGGTGAAATGGCTGAGAAACTAGCTTGTCTCTCTACTGCTGGTGGAGTGAGTACTGGGGTTCAGATCCTAGGGAAGGTGCAGCCGCAGCCTGGTGGCCCCGTTTGTATCTCCTCAGCCTTCACCTGCCCACACCTGGCTCACCTAACCAGTGGCACATGCACCTCCTCAGCCAGTGGCTGACAGAGCTGGTGTGCAACCAGTGGCCCCACTCTCTCAGGTAAGCTCAGGTAAGTGCAGTGCTTCTGCACTGACTTCCTCAGCAGGATGAAGGTCCAGGTGCCTGCAGTGTGACCTTGCTTGACAACGTGCCTTTCTGGGGGGTCACAGGGAAAGGACAGGCCTTTATCAGCCTGTGCTTTTTAGCCCACTTTATACCATAGATTTTTTATTATTTATTTGTTTATTCATTCATTCATTTTTGCAATACTGGGATATGAATTCGGGGACTCACGCTTGCTGGGTAGGTGCTCTGCCACTTGAACCGAACCACCAGCCCCCCTTTCTTTCTTTTTGGCTTGAGTTATTTTTCATATAGGGCTCACATTTTTGCCTGGACCTGGTCTGGACTGTGATCCTCCACACTTGGCTTATTGGTTGGTATAAGGTTTTCCTAACTTTTTCAAATTGTGATCCTCCCAATCTCTGTCTCCTGATTAGCTGTGATTATTGGCATGCGTCACCATATCTGGCCTTATTCAAACTTTTGATATGCACATTTTAAGAAAAAAAGCATACATGTTGACATTAATAACAAAAATAGAAATTTCCTCAATGTGTAAGGAAGACAAATACATGATGATAAAAATGATTGGCAGTGGCTTACAAAAATGGAAGTCCCCTAAACAATGTGAAATACTAAAACAGAGATAGGAAGACAGTAAAGAGGATAAATATTTGCAGTAAGTATGACTTATTTGAAAATTAAAAAGTAATTCAAACCTATTGAGGAAATATTTCATCCTACTTGCTAGTTTAACTTTGTGTGTGTGTGTTATGACATCACTAGTAAAGTGGGGGGGCAAAGTTGAACGATGTTATAAATAACTGCCTA